GTCAATTTTTTTCCCTTCTCTGTTAGGTCTCTTTCCCTTAAATCTCCCTTTATGCTGACCTTCTATTTCCCAGAGAGTCGCTATTAGATACTCTTCATCTACAGCCCACTGTAAAATAACTATGTCCCCCCTTCCTGGGGTCCAGTCTCCCTTCACAGCTGTCCAATCCTTTCCTACCACTTGTCTGACTGCTCGTTCCAGCTCTTTTCTCAGTCTGTCTAAATCCTCCCTACTTTCTCTGAGTTTTCTGAGTTTAATTTCTAACACTTCACCCTCTTCCTTATCTCTACTGGTCTCACCCCTCCCCCCACTGCTCCTTCCTCCTCCAACATTCCGGCTTGGCCGTCATATGGCGGGGGAGGTCCGGGGACCTGTCCTAATCTTCTTCTACACACAACAACCTCATCATCTAGATTCTCTTTCCAAGCCTGTTCTGCCAGGACTGGATATAACCTTTCTGCCTTCTGCTCTGGGGGAGGCACTGGGAACCTCAACCTTTACTTCTCTTTTCATCTCACCTACCTTCTTCTCACTTACTTCCTCCTTCTGCATAACTTCCTTTTTCCTTCTCTGACCTTCCTCTCTCTTCCAAGCTTCAGAGAGCCACACCCTAGCAGTGTCTAGCCCCTCTACTCGCTGTCTCTCTCTCTACACACCTTGTGCATCTGTTTTACCATGGATTCAAGTTTGTTTACATCTAGACGCCCCTCAAACCCATACCTCTCCCTCCACCTAGTTCCATAATGGAGGTTATCCTTAGACTCCATGTATTTCAATTCAATAGTCCACATTACTACTATATTCTCAGTAGTTTTTAAACTATCAACTCATTCGGCAACACAAAAATAATTATTTTACTCCCCCCACTATTCTTGTTGAATAAGTGAGTCGTTCAATTCGAACCCCGCAAACTACTACATCCCAGTCTTACATCCCAAAATCAACACTGACTGTTTTATCAATTTACACAACCCATAACCATAGTTGAACTATAATCAGAAAATCTAGATTTTAGTCAGTAATGCAGAATCTATGCTTTATTGAAATGACAAGTAAATCCTATTTTATTCCAATTATAAGTCTGTAGTTTTACTATCTGGCACATACCACACTTATCACAAAATAGCTTTACAGGACAAAGATCCCACAAGCTCAAAGGGAATGACTTAGCAGTCAACGAGTCAAATCTACATTCATTGATTTGGAAACAGATCTAACAAATTTAATTAAATGGATTATGTTTTTTCCCCTAATATACTTAAATTCCTTTACTATATTACCTCAGCTCCGAGATGATAGATCGTTTTTATAATGCTTAATCTTATTTTTATCACATGGTTTATGTACTGTCTCCGGAGACGTTTGCACACGTCTCAGGAGGGATTTTGTCCCACTCCTCTTTGCAGATCTTCTCCAAGTCATTAAGGTTTCGAGCCTGACGTTTGGCAACTCGAACATTCAGCTCCCTCCACAGATTTTCTATGGGATTAAGGTCTGGAGATTGGCTAGGCCACTCCAGGACCTTAATATGCTTCTTCTTGAGCCACTCCTTTGTTGCCTTGGCCGTGTGTTTTGGGTCATTGTCATGCTGGAATACCCATCCACGACCCATTTTCAATGCCCTGGCTGAGGGAAGGAGGTTCTCACCCAAGATTTGATGGTACATGGCCCCATCCATTGTCCCTTTGATGCAGTGAAGTTGTACTGTCCCCTTAGCAGAAAAACACCCCCAAAGCATAATGTTTCCACCTCCATGTTTGATGATGGGGATGGTGTTCTTGGGGTCATAGGCAGCATTCCTCCTCCTCCAAACACGGCAAGTTGAGTTGATGCCAAAGAGCTCGATTTTGGTCTCATCTGACCACAACACTTTCACCCAGTTCTCCTCTGAATCATTCAGATGTTCATTGGCAAACTTCAGACAGGCCTGTATATGTGCTTTCTTGAGCAGGGGGACCTTGCGAGCGCTGCAGGATTTCAGTCCTTCACGGCGTAGTGTGTTACCAATTGTTTTCTTGGTGACTAGGGTCCCAGCTGCCTTGAGATCATTGACAAGATCCTCCTGTGTAGTTCTGGGCTGATTCCTCACCGTTCTCATGATCATTGCAACTCCACGAGGTGAGATCTTGCATGGAGCCCCAGGCCGAGGGAGATTGACAGTTATTTTGTGTTTCTTCCATTTGCGAATAATCACACCAACTGTTGTCACCTTCTCACCAAGCTGCTTGGCGATGGTTTTGTAGCCCATTCCAGCCTTGTGTAGGTCTACAATCTTGTCCCTGACATCCTTGGAGAGCTCTTTGGTCTTGGCCATGGTGGAGAGTTTGGAATCTGATTGATTGATTGCTTCTGCAGACATGTGTCTTTTATACAGGTAACAAACTGAGATTAGGAGCACTCCCTTTAAGAGTGTGTTCCTAATCTCAGCTCGTTACCTGTATAAAAGACACCTGGGAGCCAGAAATCTTTCTGATTGAGAGGGGGTCAAATACTTATTTCCCTAATTAAAATGCAAATCAATTTATAAAATTTTTGACATGCGTTTTTCTGGATTTTTTTGTTGTTATTCTGTCTCTCATTGTTCAAATAAACCTACCATTACAATTATAGACTCATCATTTCTTTGTCAGCGGGCAAACGTACAAAATCAGCAGGGGATCAAATACTTTTTTCCCTCACTGTATATAGTATCAAGGTGGAATACTTTAGTCACTACTTTTAATATTTAAATTATTCTATCAGTAGCGTTCTCCTGGCATCCGCCAAACCCAGATTCGTCTGTCAGACTGCCAGATGGTGAAGCGTGATTCATAATTCCAGAGAATGCGTGGAACTGCTCCAGAGTCCAATGGCGGCAATCTTTTACACCACTCCAACCAATGCTTGGCATTGCGCATGGTGATCTTAGGCTTGTTTGCGGCTGCTCGGTCATGGAAACCCATTTCATGAAGCTCCCGACGAACAGTTATTGTGCTGACGTTGCTTCCAGAGGAACTCGGTAGTGAGTGTTGCAACCGAGGACAGACGATTTTTACGCGCTTCAGCACTTGGTGGTCCCGTTCTGTGAGCTTGTGTGGCCTACCACTTTGCGGCTGAGCCGTTGTTGCTCCTAGACGTTTCCACTTCACAATAACAGCACTTACAGTTGACCGGGGCAGCTCTAGCAGTGCATAAATGTTACAAACTGACTTGTTGGAAAGGTGGCATCCTATGACGGTGCCATGTTGAAAGTCGCTGAGCTCTTTGTCTATGGAGATTGCATGGCTAAGTGCTCAATTTTATACACCTGTCAGCAAAGGGTGTGACTGAAATAGCTGAATCTACTCATTTGAAGGGGTGTTCACATACTTTTGTTATATAGTGTACCTCTCCCCATCTTCACAACAACTTGACCACTTGACCATGATAACTGACCATCCAATGTTACTCCTAGAAGTTCAGCTTCTTCAACTTGTTCAATGTTCTTACCCTTTATGCACAACTCCAGTTGAGGTTTAGGTCTAAGAGAATGCTTTGTACCAAATACTATGCTTTTGGTTTTAGATGTAATTAAGACCAGTTTGTTGTTAATTACCCATTCTGACACAGACTGTAACTCCTGGCTAAGAGTCTGAGTGAGCTCACTGGCTTTAGATGCTGATGTGTAGAGTGTGCATATTCATTTTAGCTTCTTGTAAGAGAAGTGGCAAATCATTTGTAAAAAATAATGAAGAGTAACGGCCCTAGGCAACTGCCTTGAGGGATACCGCACTGTACATTTTTATTTATTTTTATTTTACCTTTATTTATCTAGGCAAGTCAGTTAAGAACAAATTCTTATTTACAATGACGGCCTACACCGACCAAACCCGGACGACGCTGGGCCAATTGTGCGCCGCCCTATGGGACTCCCAATCACGGCCGGTTGTGATACAGCCTGGAATCGAACCAGGGGGTCTGTAGTGACGCCTCAAGCATTGAGATGCAGTACCTTAGACCACTGCGCCACTCGGGAGCCCATATCTGATGTTAGAGAAGCTTCCATTGAAGAATACTCTCTGAGTTCTATTGGATAAGTAACTCTCCAACCATGTAATGGCAGGTGGTGTAAAACCATAGCTAGTGAGTTTTTTCAATAACAAATTATGATCAATAACATCAAAGGCTGCACTGAAATCTAACAATACAGCTTCAACTATCAATCATCAGTCATCTGAGTCAGTGCAGTACAAGTTGAGTGCCCTTCTCTATATGCATGTTGAAAATCAGTAGTTAACATGTTCTTTGTAAAATAGCATGGTATTTGTTCAAACTGAATTTTCTCCGTCATTTTACTAAGAACAGGCAGCAAACTGATTGGGCAGCTGTTAGAGCCAACAAAGGGTGCCAGAGCTGATTTCTATGAGAAAAGAGATTTACTCTTTCTCATCCGTGTTGTGGATCAATCATCTAACATTTGCATAACATAAGCCTAGTCCCTAAACATAAACTTAATTGTGAGTTTATTTAAAGTTGAGGCTATTTGTAACCATGGAATCTCACATGTAAGCCAATTAATGTTAGTGAGGTTTGATAGCACTGATTAAGCAGAGTGCTGTAGAACCTCAAAGCAGTGTTTTTGTGGGAGCATCATTCACGCTTCATCTCTAAGTCCATCACCCTCTTCAGCAGAGCTCAGCTCATGCTGCTATTTTTAATCCTGTAGAAACAGGGCTCACCATCCGCTTGGAGAGGGGGGAACTGGAGCCCTGCACTTGCATTTTCATTCACGGTCCCTCTGAAATATTCATAAGATGGTGTTTAAAATCCATGACTAGTTTGCTCTCTTCTTAACCCAGGCATTTTCTTTAGCTCTTTCAGCCCTGTCAGTTTTTTTAAGATGGCAAGCAAATTAGTGTTTTTTGCTACATAAACAGAGGCATCTAGGCTATTTTAAGCCTGTAATCTGATTTAATGCAGTGTTTTGGTAAGTGTGGTATTGAATATCAGTGTTTATCAGAAACTGAAGTTGTCTTCTAAACATGGCTTCAGTTCAGACAGCCTGCCAGATTATTTTCCCTATCGGCAAGATAAAAGGTGCGTGTTAATAGTTTACTGACTGTAGCTTCACAGCTCAAGACAGAGGATTGACCTGTTCCCAAACACACACACAAACATGCAGGCACGGACACATGCACAAACACACAGCAGCCATTTCATAAAATCATCAAAAGGGAAACATAACTGCCTTTTAGCCATGGTTTCTGGGCCCTGTCTACAATATAGAAGTAATCTGTTGTGACACTTGTGGTCTTGGTGGGCACAGTGTGGATCTTTACAGAGCTAGGCTGCTTTCAACTGACCAGACACTGGCCAGCCAGATCTAGGATAGTTTTTGGACAGAAAAGCCCTAGCTTGTTCTGACCTGTCTAGGACCCTGGGCCTGACCCTCTCCATGCAACAATGTACTCACACAGATCTCTCTCTCGCCTGTGGATATCATGCTCCAATCTTTGTTGAATTACACGGTTTTCTCAAGGAAATTAAACTGCATACTTTTTGGACAACATAATTGACCGTAACTCACAGAACCTCAGAGTAAGGCTACTGTACATTAGGTCTCTCCCATTCCCAGTCAGGCCATAGATAGTGCTGACCTCAGCTGCACATATTCAAATACAGCAGCAGGACATGTGAAGAAACATCTTGAACCATACAGCATGCCTGTTCTTCTCTAGGCTAAGTGATGCCCAATAGATCCCCATCCTCCGTACATAAAGATGTTGCATGCAACGATGTCTTATAAAGATGACAAAACAATGTGTTAATGATGAGCAGGACATCACTCATGTTGCTCCACCCAGAATTCTGACCACGCTGTGAAATGCACATGAGGACATCGCTCCACTTGTTCATTATATTCATAGCAGATGGTGCATCTAATGGGTTCCCCATGCCCTCTGGGGTAGACAAAACAAACACAAACGCACAACTGTGCAGAAAGTTAAAGAACAACTGTGCAGAAAGTTAAAGAATTTGGGCATTTCTTCTGTCTTTTATGTTTTGAAGTCTGTGTTTGATATTCCGAGAGCCAATGGATATTTAAGGCAATAGGACTGTTTCACTCTATGCATATTTCACATCAGTAGTCCCTGTTGTAGAGCTTCTGTAGTGTGTTCCCACCTTCCTATGTAATGCTCCTGATTTGTCAGTGAAATACACATTTTACTCTCTGAAGATGAAAGATATTAGGCTTCTAGTACATTCCTTCTACATATCTCCCATCCAGACATGTCAAGCACAACAATCTTTGCACGCTAGCCTAATTTTGACACAGTGACTAATGGGTTGCTAGTCCCTCTTCTGCATCTCAGCATAAAGCATGAGAGAAGGTGTCTACTGTCAGGGACCTTTCCATAGCTAGGAGAGAGGAAGCACTTAGGCCTAGGGCTCTTGCGGTGACAGTATTACCGCCACACCGGAGTCATGACCGCAGTAAAATTCCACGTGACCGTTGAGTCATGGTAATCTCCGGTTATGCTCTCTGGACATGCCTTGGTAGTACTGAACTTACTAAAACCATTAGGTCCTAATGGCCTGGTACTCTGGGATCTATTGTCCCTCTAACCACATCTATATGGATTATGCATAGGCTTGATAATGCCCCTGTTCCTGCCCATTTGATAATGCCCCTGTTCCTGCCCATTTGATAATGCCCCTGTTCCTGCCCATTTGATAATGCTCTGTTCCTGCCAAATAACTCTAAATCTAGCATATAGGACCTGTTTCAAATGATCACTTTTATGCTCAACATAGCCACTTCATATGCGCACTCGCTCCGGAATGGGAAAGATATCCTTTCTATTTTATTCAGCTAAGTTAAATTATGTTCTTCTTACTATAAAATCATATAGTAAAAATCATAATGGTGTTGGACTTATAAGCAGATCTTGTCAGCTAAACAAACAAGCCTACAGTCTATGGCATGGAGCATTGCCAGATAACATACAGACCGGCAGTCTTTTGCATGACAATAACCGCCTGACAAAATGTAATGACCGCCACAGCCCTACTTAGGCCTACAGTTACAGTACATGTTCATCAACCTGGGAGATCTCTGCTCTGCTGTTATTCCCAGAGCCCCAGCAGTCCTGGGTTGTTGCTGGGAGGAAGGATGATGAAGATGAAGGAGACTGTGCTGCTAGTGTCTCTGTCTGTGCTGCCTCACAGAATGACTTGGGCCCCTCTGCTTGTCCTGTTTCTTGCCAGCCTGCCTTCAAATCTCATTAATCTTCTTCAGCTTCCAGAGCCAATTAGCTAATGCTATGGGAAGGAAACAGATAAAGCAATGAAGGAGAGGGTCAGGAAAGCTCCACTCCAGGGGACAACACAGTATGTTAGCTGTCGTGAACTGTGGGCCTAAATAGATTATTCTCCAAATATTTTTCAATCCCCCGACAGACAACTCTGTACAATCTTTGAATCTAGCCTAATGCTTCTCAAACCTTCTCACTGTCAGTGTGTTTCAATGGCTTTATAAATAAAGCTATGCAGATAGGCTAGATTTAGTCTAAATTGCTCAATAGTTCTAGGTAGGCTTCTCTAAAGACTCAACTCTGTCCACATCTGTTGGTAGTTTGATGCAGAGGGCTGTTTGCAGTCAGTTGGTACTGTCCTCCACATTTATTCCAAATACTGTAGACAAAAGAAAGGCACTCATTTGTGCATTCTATCCTACGTGTCCTTTGTGTGTGTCCTTGAGTGCGTGTGTGTGTGTTGGCTATAGCTAACAATGAAAGTGAAGTAAGACATTAGAGACAGTTAATTGACAGCTAGGCTCCAAAGCTGACAGCTTGTAGACACTTAGTCTGGATCTTCAGATAATCTATCCTCACCATCCCACTCAGGTAAGGACTTTGCTGGGATCGATAAATGACAGGTGACAACCAAAGCTTCCATTGACTACACAACTTCAATGCAATAAGACTTCTTGTGTGTAGGCGGACTGTTTTTATAAATTTTTCTCATCTCAGTTGACAATAACAATGTTCCGCCTGTCCAACCATCATGGGAGTTTAAGAAGATGGTGAATAAACAGAGTATTTTTTACAGTAATTGAATGCCATTTATCAATATTTGAATGCCCTGATGTCAATAGCTCATGAGCAACTGTATCCCCTGACTTCCCTCTCAGCTGCCTACCTACCTACCTATCGACCTCCTTCGGTATTCATATCCCCGTTGTCATTTTTGAGCAACTTATATTTGCTGTGTTCGTGGTAGCCTCTTGCTTACTTCCCTCAATTCAACACCTCTGTTTTCTTTCTTCCCCTTCTCATTGTCACCCCTAGTTCGCTGCCTAAAGCCTACCCTCTTCTCTGAAGTTTCAATTTGAAGAGGTAACAACACAGTAGCCAATATGTTCTTGAAAGGCACCTCTAGCCCTCTGTTTGGCTGGTTTGCTGTAGCATGCAGCAGAAATGGGAGAGGACTCTTGAAAGGAGACACCACACAGGTCGAACATAGATAAACACTGTACATTATACAGTGCATTCGGAAAGTATTCAGACTCCTTGACTTTTTCCACATTTTGTTACGTTACAGCCTTATTCTAAAATGGATGAGGAAACAAACAATTTAATCAATCTACACACAATACCCCATAATGATGAAGCAAAAACAGGATTTAAAATTTTTTTGCACATTTATATATAAAAATAAAAAACCTTATTTACATAAGTATTCAGACCCTTTACTCCGTACTTTGTTGAAGCACCTTTGGCAGCGATTTCAGCCTTGAATCTTCTTGGGTATGACGCTACAAGCTTGGCACACCTGTATTTGGGGAGTTTCTCCCATTCTTCTCTGCAGATCCTCTCAAGCTCTGTCAGGTTGGCTGGGGAGCGTCGCTGCACAGCTATTTTTAGGTCTCTCCAGAGATGTTCGATCAGGTTCAAGTCCGGGCTCTGGCTGGGCCACTCAACGACATTCAGAGACTTGTCCTGAAGCCACTCCTGCATTGTCTTGGCTGTGTGCTTAGGTTCGTTGTCCTGTTTGAAGGTGAACCTTCGCCCCAGTCTGAGGTCTTGAGCTCTCTGGAGCATGTTTTCATCAAGGATCTCTGTACTTTGCTCCGTTCATCTTTCCCTCGATCCTGACTAGTCTCCCAGTCCCTGCCACTGAAAAACATCCCCACAGCATGATGCTGCCACCACCATGCTTCACCGTAGCGATGGTGCCAGGTTTCCTCCAGACGTGAAGCTTGGCATTCAGGCCAAAGAGTTCAATCTTGTTTTCATCAGACCAGGGAATCTTGTTTCTCATGGTCTGAGAGACCTTTAGGTGCCTTTTGGCAAACTCCAAGCGGGCTTTCATGTGCCTTTTACTGAGGAATGGCTTCCGTCTGGCCACTCTACCATAAAGGCCTGATTGGTGGAGTGCTGCAGAGAGGGTTGTCCTTCTGGAAGGTTCTCCCATCTCCACGGAGGAACTCTGGAGCTCTGTCAGAGTGACCATCGGGTTCTTGGTCACCTCCCTGACCAAGGACCTTCTCCCCCGATTGCTCAGTTTGGCCGGGCGGCCAGCTCTAGGAAGAGTCTTGGTGGTTCCAAACTTTTTCCATTTAAGAATGATGGATGCCACTGTGTTCTTGGGGACCTTCAATGCGCAGACATTTTTTGGTATCTTTCCCCAGATCTGAGCCTCGACACAATCCTGTCTCTGAGCTCTACGGACAATTCCTTCGACCTCATAGCTTGGTTTTTGCTCTGACATGCACTGTCAATTGTGGGACCTTATATAGACAGGTGTGTGCCTTTCCAAATCATGTCCAATCAATTGAATTTGCCACAGGTGGACTCCAATCAAGTTGTAGAAACATCTCAAGGATGATCAATGGAAACAGGATGCACCTGGGGGGGGGGGGGGGGAGAACAAGGTGAAATCATGACGGCAGTCAGGTCGGAAAGTCCGAGCTCTAGAAAGATGCCTGAGTTTCCGACTTGGAATTCCGAGTTGGATGACCGTTCAAAACGATTTTTCCCGGTCGGATCTCGTTTTCTTTTTAGAGTTCTCAGTTGTCTTGACTGCACTGAAGTAGGAAGTCTGAGATTTCCAAGTTCCCAGTTGTTTTGAACCCACATTAGTCTCAGCGGAGGGAGGGAAAGAGCAGCACAGGGTCCGCCTTTCTCGGTCCCTGCTCTCTCCTTCCTTTCCTCCGGTGAGACTGACCAGAGTGAGGGGACACGGTCTTCCACCTGTTGGCGAAACTCGAGTTGCACCGCATCTGTCTCGTGCACAAATTAATGTTGTTCCTATGACCAGAGAAAGTGAAATATTCCTTGATATAGACAATACGAGCAGCTAATAATAATACCAGTACCGAGTCGATGTGCAGGGGTACGAGGTAATGGAGGTAGATACAGGATGTACATACAGTGAGGGAAAAAAGTATTTGATCCCCTGCTGATTTTGTACGTTTGCCCACTGACAAAGACATGATCAGTCTATAATTTTAATGGTAGGTTTATTTGAACAACAAAAAAATCCAGAAAAATGCGTGTCAAAAATGTTATGAATTGATATGCATTTTATTGAGGGAAATAAGTATTTGACCCCTCTGCAAAACATGACTTAGTACTTCGTGGCAAAACCCTTGTTGCCAATCACAGAGGTCAGACGTTTCTTGTAGTTGGCCACCAGGTTTCCACACATCTCAGGAGGGATTTTGTCCCACTCCTCTTTGCAGATCTTCTCCAAGTCATTAAGGTTTCGAGGCTGACGTTTGGCAACTCGAACCTTCAGCTCCCTACACAGATTTTCTATGGGATTAAGGTCTGGAGACTGGCTAGGCCACTCCAGGACCTTAATGTGCTTCTTCTTGAGCCACTCCTTTGTTGCATTGGCCGTGTGTTTTGGGTCATTGTCATGCTGGAATCCCCATCCACGACCCTTTTTCAATGCCCTGGCTGAGGGAAGGAGGTTCTCACCCAAGATTTGATGGTACATGGCCCCGTCCATCGTCCCTTTGATGCGGTGAAGTTGTCCAGTCCCCTTAGCAGAAAAACACCCCCAAAGCATAATGTTTCCACCTCCATGTTTGACGGTGGGGATGGTGTTCTTGGGGTCATAGGCAGCATTCCTCCTCCTCCAAACACGGCGAGTTGAGTTGATGCCAAAGACCTCGATATTGGTCTCATCTGACCACCACTTTCACCCAGTTCTCATCTGAATCATTCAGATGTTCATTGGCAAACTTAAGACGGCCCTGTATATGTGCTTTCTTGAGCAGGGGGATCTTGCGGGCGCTGCAGGATTTCAGTACTTCACGGCGTAGTGTGTTACCAATTGTTTTCTTGGTGACTATGGTCCCAGCTGCCTTGAGATCATTGACAAGATCCTCCCGTGTAGGTCTGGGCTGATTCCTCACTGTTCTCATGATCATTGCAACTCCACGAGGTGAGATCTTGCATGGAGCCCCAGGCCGAGGGAGATTGACAGTTATTTTGTGTTTCTTCCATTTGTGAATAATCGCACCAACTGTTGTCACCTGCTCACCAAGCTGCTTGGCGATGGTCTTGTAGCCCATTCCAGCCTTGTGTAGGTCTACAATCTTGTCCCTGACATCCTTGGAGAGCTCTTTGGTCTTGGCCATGGTGGAGAGTTTGGAATCTGATTGATTGATTGCTTCTGTGGACAGGTGTCTTTTATACAGGTAACAAGCTGAGATTAGGAGCACTCCCTTTAAGAGTGTGCTCCTAATCTCAGCTCATTACCTGTATAAAAGACACCTGGGAGCCAGAAATCTTTCTGATTGAGAGGGGGTGAAATACTTATTTCCCTCATTAAAATGCAAATCAATTTATAAAAAATTTTACATGCGTTTTTCTGGATTTTGTTGTTGTTATTCTGTCTCTCACTGTTCAAATAAACCTACCATTAAAATTATAGACTGATCATGTCTTTGTCAGTGGGCAAACGTACAAAATCAGCAGGGGATCAAATACTTTTTTCCCTCACTGTAGGTAGGGGTAAAGTGACTCAGCCAAGACAATGCAGGAGTGGTTTCGGGACAAGTGATTCATGGTTCCTTCTATTAAGGCAAGTCGTCCAGGTCCTGAGGCAGCAAAGCATCCCCAAACCATCACACCACCACCACCATGCTTGACCTTTGGTGTGATGTTCTTACTGTGTAATGCAGAGTTTGGTTTTCGCCAGGCAGGAACCATGTCGTCCAAAAAGTTATACTTTTGAATCATCTTTCCATAGAACGTTCTTCTAAGAGTATTGATGATCATCCAGGTGCTTTTTGGCAAACTTGAGTCAACTTTCTGGATGAGATGGGTCCCATTATGCCTGGCGAAAACCAAACACTGCATTCCACAGTAAGAACATCATACCAAAGGTCAAGCATGGTGGTGGTGGTGTGATGGTTTGGGGATGATTTGCTGCCTCAGGACCTGGACGACTTGCCTTAATAGAAGGAACCATGAATTCTGCTCTGTATCAGAGAATTCTACAGGAGAATGTCAGACCATCCGTCTGTGAGCTGAAGCTGAAGCTGAAGCGCAGTTGGGTCATGCAGCAAGACAATGATCCAAAACACACAATCAAGTCTACATGAAAATTGCTAATAAGCAACAAATTGGAAGTTTTGGAATGGCCTAGTCAAAGTCCAGACCTAATCCCAATTGAGATGCTGTGGCAGGACTTGAATCAAGCAGTTCATGCTTGAAAACCCACACGTCACTGAGTTAAAGCAGTTCTGCATGGAAGAGTGGGCCAAAATTCCTCCACAGCGACATGAGAGACCACTACAGGAAGCATTTGGTTGGAGTCATTGCAGCTAAAGGTGGCACAACCAGTTATTTAGTGTAAGGGGCAATTACTTTTTCACACAGGGGAATTGGGTGTTGCATAACTTTGTTTATGAAATAAATATGTAATTGTTGTGTTATTTGTTCACTTATGTTCCCTTTATCTAATATTAGGTTTTGGTTGAAGATCTGATAACATTCAGTATCACAAATATGCAAAAGTAGAGAAAATTAGAAAGGGGGCAAATACTTTTTCATAGCACTGTAAGTTACTTTTTAGATGTGTATAGAATGTTGATTAACCACATGACAATGATTTTGAGATATGAAGACGTTATTATAAATTAAATGAAACTGTTTCGCGAAAATGTGATTATGAAAACCACAACAGGCACACAGATCGGTAGAAATGGTAAGATAAATTGGCATTCAACATGAGAAAGGTAGCCGACTCCTCGTGTAGCCTATTACCGGCAACTTCAGGAGAGTAATGGCAGAATCTGCGAAAGCCAGCCGGAGCAGGAGGAGAATAGTTGGGTCAGGTAAAGTTGTTTTTCTTCTGGTTATGTAGATCTCTGGCGCTCTCTTGAGGCTTAAAGCATCAGACAAGCTCAATGCATATAGTTGATTTTATTCAAACACAGGGTGTGTTTATATATGGAAAAATACATGTAAAAAAATTTCAAGCAATCGATTGGTCGAAAGAACAGACGACTTTCGGTCGACCAATATTTTTTTTTGTCGGGGACAGCCCTAATGCAGATATTCTGGGTAGCTACTTGGTTAACTATTTAGCAGTCTTATTGCTTGGGGTTAGAAGCTGTTCAGGTGCCTGTTGGTGCATTGGTACTGCTTGCTGTGCGGTAGCAGAGAACAGTCCATGAGTTGGGTGGCTGGATTCTCTGACAATCTTTAGGGCCTTCCCCTGACACCGCCTGGTATAGAGGTCCTGGATGGCAGGGAGCTCGGCCCCAGTGATGTACTGGGCCATACACACTACCCTCTGTAGCGCCTTGCTGTCTGATGCCAAGCAGTTGCCGTACCAAGCGGTGATGCAGTCAGTCAAGATGCTCTCAGTGGTGCAGCTGTAGAACGTTTTGAGGATCTGTGGCCCCATGCTGCATCTTTTCAGCCTCCTGAGGGGGAAGAAGCATTGTCGTGCCTTCTTCATGACTGTGGTGGTGTGTGTGGACCATGTTAATTTCTTAGTGATTTGGACACCGAGGAACTTGAAGCTCTCAACCCGCTCCGCTACTGCCCCATCGAAGTGGATGGGGGCGTGCTTGGCCCTTCCTGTAGTTCATGATCAGCTCCTTTGTCTTGCTGACGTTGAGGGAGAGGTTGTTGTCCTGGCAACACACTGCCAGGTCACTGACCTCCCTAAAGGCTGTCTCTCTTCTCATCGGGAAAAAGGCTTGATGGAAGTAGTGGAGTTTTATTAAAGGCCTTCGTGCTCCAGAGCTCAGCTGATGCAGCACACCATCTCCTATGTCCCCCTCAGGGCCAGAAGGTTGCATGGAGGTGGGAGTGGAGAGGTTATAATAATATAATAATAATATGCCATTTAGCAGACGCTTTTATCCAAAGCGACTTACAGTCACGCGTGCATACATTTTTACGTATGGGTGGTCCCGGGGATCGAACCCACTACCCTGGCGTTACAAGCGCCATCAGTCTGCATCACACCAAAAGTGTGAGCTCTGCAAATCATTCATCAAGGGGGTAAATGTTCACATAAAGCAGATAATAATTTCCCCAATGCAAGGGTTGTCAACTATAAGCAAAGACCAATCACAATCCTATCTCTAGCAGTCTGTACATACTTTCTTATGATGGATTTTGAGTCCTAGGGAAGCTATGTATTATGAGAGCTGTGTCCCTTTAACCACTTTAGGTCAAGTTCAGGTTGATCAAAACAAGAAAATTAGACATTTGAGGGAGTGGGGCTCTCGAAAGCTAGAGGAGAACTGACAGTTCTGTGTGCAACTGCAAGGCATTAGGAAAACAAACCAAGACTCTACATGACCCTCTTGGATTTAAAATAAACTCGATTGTTGTTCAGCTTTACCTTAACACAATAGAGAAAAGGATTGTTGATATTGAAGGTCACTGTCATTATCATGAGATTAATGGCATAGTCTTGTGGAATAGATGCATCGGGTCGTGGCCGACTACATGCAATTCATTGAACCTCTGCTTCCAAGCCTATACATAATAGCCAATACTTTAGATGTCATCTGTTATCACGTTTTTGTCTCCAGCCATATAATTAGAGATGCCTAGGCTTAGCGTAGCAACAATTGTCAGGGTGCATTATGTTAATGGCTGTGTTGCTTGTGTGTAGAATTACAATGTGACTGCCCCTTCACAACACATCCACCAGAAATGATTTATTTAACTGTGTTATCCACTCAGAAGCATGATTATGTTGTGGCAAATTCTGAAACGAGAGTTTCTGTGCTGTCACGTCTGATCCTGTCTGAATGAGTTGAAGCGCTTGCTTGGCCTTGTGGGGTTTTTCCAGTGTCTGACTGTCTGGATGATGCTGCTGCGCCACAATGGCCGCTGCTGTATGTTGATGTTGCTCAGTAGACAGCTCTCCTGTCTGTCTGAGCAGCCTTTTACAGCCGCAGCTGCCCTGATGTCTGTCTACTGAACACTTAACCCGTCTATTCCCATCATTCTGCTGCTTAGATGCCTCCGGGAGTCGTTAGCAAGCAACCGCTCAGCGCTACGTCACTGTCAGTCTCTAAAGCAGCCAGCGGTGTGGAGAGAGAATATGGGGGGGGGGGGGGGGGGGTGTGTGACCCACTGTCAGGAATCAACAGGGCTGCTGCAACCAGTTCCAGAGGTCACCTCTCTTCACAGTATGTTGTCTTCTTGAGTCCAGAGCCCTGCCGTCTTCTGTGTAGTTAATGTGACTCAGTCAGTGGTAGATTATGCTGCTGGTGTTGTCAGGGGGGTGGTGGAAAGGGGGGAAAGGAGAGCCATAAAAGGATTATACAGTAGTAGGCTGGCTGTTAGTAGATCTATGGCTTCATGAACCCCACTGAACTCCAGACACCACATCTGCTTTAGGAACAGCCTGATGATGCTCAGACATTACATATGCTGCCTGACTACATTCTATCTAACAGAATATAGCCCACTGCAGTGTCAAAGGGCTGCCATGTTGCTCTGCTTAGGATCTCACCATGTTATTTCATTTTAGAGTGTTTGTGTTGTCTCTGCATCATGGGTGTAGCCTAGTGTTTATGACATTGTGTTTTGTATGATTTATTGTTAAGGACATTGTAGACGTTGTACAATACCATGAGGAAAGGGAGCAGGACCAGCAGGGAGAACAGAACTGAGGGAAGGATGGGGAGGGAAGTCCTGACCTGTAGGGTACTCAGCCTACATTCTCTGGGGGAGCCTGAAAGCTCCTATTTAAATCCCTTATCCTTATTCTTATCCCTCCCCCTCCCCCTTTAATTGTTTACCTGTAAGTTTAAGAAATATTGCCTTGTGCTTTGTAATTCCGTTACCAAAAACCCACATCTTTAAGATATTTTCAAATTTCTCTCCCTCATTAGGAAGGAGTATACTGAAAGTTCACAGAAGTATCAAGCAATGGTAAATCTACCAATTTAGTTATAGTGATTTAACTGATATCAGTTTTGTTTATGAATCATTAAGTGATTAAAACTTGGTAACGGAATTACCCAGAAATCAGTAACGGAATTATTGCAACTGAATTGGCTATAATGGGAAATCATAATAGTCCCAAACCACAGTTGGGTCACCTGCTACTATCCTCCCTTCCATTGGCATACTGTTATATTCTGCTCATAACTGTTTTCTTTGTCTTTCTGGTGTCTAGTGATCAAACCAAGAGTGCTAAAACAGTCGGAGTCTGGACAGTCTCTCACTCACTCATTCACTCACTCTCCAGTTAATGTCACCTCTCCCAGTTCTTACTGACACCTCTCCCAGTTCTCACTGACACCTACCCATGAGCCCCCTCTCTTTCCATTTACTGTAACTAGCATTCTCGCCCACTGAGAACTGACTGACACCGGATGTCCATGGACGTTGAAAAGTTTACATTTGGTCTGTCCACCCTTGCCTTGATGTTAACGTCCACATATTGACCAGACTGGACCAAATATGAACCTATCATATACAGTGCATTCAAAAAGTATTCAGACCCCTTCACTTTTTCCACATTTTGTTACTTTACAGACTTATTCTAAAATTTATATTTTCCTCATCTAGCTACACACAATACCCCATAATGACAAAGCGAAAACAGGTTTTTAGAAATGTTTGCAAATGTATATAAATATAAAAAACAGAAATACCTTATTTACATAAGTATTCAGACCCTTTGCTATGATACTCGAAATTGAGTTCAGGTGCATCCTGTTTCAATTGATCATCCTTGAGATGTTTCTATAACTTGATTGGAGTCCACCTGTGGTAAATTCAATTGATTGGACATGATTTGGAAAGGCACACACCTGTCTATATAAAGAAAACAAGCCAAGGAATTGTCAGAGACAGGATTGTGTTGAGGCACAGATCTAGGGAAGGGTACCAAAAAATGTCTGCAGCATTGAAGGTCCCCAAGAACATAGTGACCTCTATCATTCATAAATGGAAGAAGTTTGGAACCACCAAGACTCTTCTTTGAGCTAGCCGCCCAGCCAAACTGAGCAATCGGGGGAGAAGGGCCTTGGTCAGGGAGGTGACCAAGAACCCGATGGTCACTCTGACAGAGCTCCAGAGTTCCTCTGTGGAGATGGGAGAACCTTCCAGAAGGACAACTATCTCTGCAGCACTCCACCAATCAGGCCTTTATGGTAGAGTGGCTAGATGGAAGCCACTCCTCAGTAAAAGGCACATTACAGCCTGCTTGGAGTTTGCCAAAAGGAACCTAAAGGACTCTCAGACCATGAGAAACAAGATTCCCTAGTCTGATGAAACCAAGATTGAACTCTTTGGTGAAGCATGGTGGTGGCAGCATCATGCTGTGGGATGTTTTTCAGCGGCAGGGACTGGGAGACTAGTCAGGATAGAGGGAAAGATGAACGGAGCAAAGTACAGAGAGATCCTTGAAGGAAACCTGCTCCAGAGCGCTCAGGACCTCAGACTGGGATGAAGGTTCACCTTCCAACAGAACAACGACCCTAAGCACACAGCCAAGACAATGCTGGAGTGGCTTCGGGACAAGTCTCTGAATGTTCTTGAGTGGCCCAGCCAGAGCCCGGACTTGAACCCGATCAAACATCTCTGGAGAAACCTGAAAATAGCTGTGCCGCAACGCTCCCCATCCAACCTGACAGAGCTTGAGAGGATCTGCAGAGAAGAATGGGAGAAACTCCCCAAATACAGGTGTGCCAAGCTTGTAGCGTCATATCCAAAAAGACTTGAGGCTGTAATCGCTGCCAAAGGTGTTTCAACAAAGTACTGAGTAAAGGGTCTGAATACTTATGTGATATTTATTTATTTATTTTATAAATTAACAAACAAATCAAAAAACCTGTGTTTGCTTTGTTATTATGGGGTTTTGTGTGTAGATTGATGAGGAAAAAATACTATTTAATCAATTTTAGAATAAGGCTGTAATGTAACAAAATGTGGAAAAGTGAAGGGATCTGAATACTTTCCGAATGCACTGTACGTATGTTTCACAAGTTTGGATAGTACAGTACAGTGAGTAGAGCACAGTACAGTACAATACAGTGCAGTAATGAGCAGGGGTTGGAACCAAAGTTATTTTCCAGTTGTTTCGTTCTGAACACAACAACTATTTTTTTTCGTTCCGTTCCACTGTTCCGACCAGCAAAATAATGTTCTGAACCGGTTCGAACCAAAAAAAAAGATCTGTTTATATCGTTCCTTTCTGTAATTTTTTTAGCCTGTGAAATCTATGCGCCTATGGTGCAAGATGTGACATTTTACGGGTGGGGAGAGAGCGAGAGGATGCATTATCTGAATTAGGTCCACAGAATTATACCTAGGAGATGTTGCTTCTGTGAAGGAACTTTGAATGTTCTTTGAGCTAGCTAGCTAACAAGCTTGAGCTAGCGAGTTAACAAGCTTGAGCTAGCAAGCTAACAAGCTTGTGTGTGCAGAGTGGCACCAGAATTAAAAACACATCTTACCTTTTTGTAGTTAATAAATCTGTGAAACATGATATCAAGGCCGATAGTATCCATAACTAGCATTGAAAAAATTAATCCATTCTTCTCTAGCTAATTAAAAATCTCCCTATCTTCTCACTCTTTTAACGTCAGTGCAGTACCCTATGCTTCGCTTCAGAGGGGGAAGGGGCAGGTAGCATAAACACACACACACACACACACTGGTAAAGATTTTCAGCTTCCTGGCAGACGCTGGAATAGGTTTCTGAATGAAAGAGTGAGGGCTTTGCATAGGCGCTTTGTTGCATGTTTTTGTGAGACTAGAAAAAAATGCCTGGAAGACAAAAAAAACGTTATTAACTGGTTTCCATTATTTTAAAATAACAATTCTGTTCCTTAACCAAAGTTTGCATCTGTACAGTTCTTCCACTAAATTCGTTTTTGTAAATTTTTCTGTGGAAATTGTTAAAAGTTGTCATTGTGCATAATTGTATGTATCGTTTTTGTTTGGCATACATTTTCAAGTGAAAAAACGGAGTCAAAGCGTAATTCAATTAACGTGGAATTGTCCTTGCCCTTTCGTAAGTACTGCACTGTATAATTGGGATGCCTTTGCAATGCTCTCATGCTGTGGTAGCCTACATGCCGTACTGGACATGCCTTACTGTAGGTGGAAAGTCACACAGAAAAGGACAGGGTACAGTAGTGTGTGTGTACCTCAGTGACAAAATCGGCCATCTTGTCAGAGGAGATTTACGAATACAAACGAGAGATGTGAATGAATACAGAGCCCTTCCCCCGCACCTCACTGTCTGAGGATTAAGAGCTGGCAGGATGAGTTTTGGGGTTTGAACAATCCGCCTTTGTCCCGCTCAGGGCACAAGTGCCCTCTGTTAGTGCTGCATCACTGATCTGCGGCGCCATCTCCCAACTGATTCCCATACTCTCCCCACGATCCCACACATATCCTCTATCAGGCCTGGAGTACATACAGTGAGGGAAAAAAGTATTTGATCCCCTGCTGATTTTGTACGTTTGCCCACTGACAAAGAAATGATCAGTCTATAATTTTAATGGTAGGTTTATTTGAACAGTGAGAGACAGAATGACAACAAAAAAATCCAGAAAAACGCATGTCAAAAATGTTATAAATTGATTTGCATTTTAATGAGGGAAATAAGTATTTGACCCCTCTCAATCAGAAAGATTTCTGGCTCCCAGGTGTCTTTTATACAGGTAATGCGCTGAGATTAGGAGCACACTCTTAAAGGGAGTGCTCTTAATCTCAGTTTGTTACCAGTATAAAAGACACTTGTCCACAGAAGCAATCAATCAATCAGATTCCAAACTCTCCACCATGGCCAAGACCAAAGAGCTCTCCAAGGATGTCAGGGACAAGATTGTAGACCTACACAAGGCTGGAATGGGCTACAAGACCATCGCCAAGCAGCTTGGTGAGAAGGTGACAACAGTTGGTGCGATTATTCACAAATGGAAGAAACACAAAAGAACAGTCAATCTCCCTCGGCCTGGGGCTCCATGCAAGATCTCACCTCGTGGAGTTGCAATGATCATGAGAACGGTGAGGAATCAGCCCAGAACTACACGGGAGGATCTTGTCAATGATCTCAAGGCAGCTGGGATCATAGTCACCAAGAAAACAATTGGTAACACACTACGCCGTGAAGGACTGAAATCCTGCAGCGCCCGCAAGGTCCCCCTGCTCAAGAAAGCACATATACAGGCCCGTCTGAAGTTTGCCAATGAACATCTGAATGATTCAGAGGAGAACTGGGTGAAAGTGTTGTGGTCAGATGAGACCAAAATCTAGGTCTTTGGCATCAACTCAACTCGCCGTGTTTGGAGGAGGAGGAATGCTGCCTATGACCCCAAGAACACCATCCCCACCGTCAAACATGGAGGTGGAAACATTATGCTTTGGGGGTGTTTTTCTGCTAAGGGGACTGGACAACTTCACCGCATCAAAGGGACGATGGACGGGGCCATGTACCGTCAAATCTTGGGTGAGAACCTCCTTCACTCAGCCAGGGCATTGAAAAAGGGTCGTGGATGGGTATTCCAGCATGACAATGACCCAAAACACACGACCAAGGCAACAAAGGAGTGGCTCAAGAAGAAGCACATTAAGGTCCTGGAGTGGCCTAGCCAGTCTCCAGACCTTAATCCCATAGAAAATCTGTGTAGGGAGCTGATGGTTCGAGTTGCCAAACGTCAGCCTCGAAACCTTAATGACTTGGAGAAGATCTGCAAAGAGGAGTGGGACAAAATCCCTCCTGAGATGTGAGCAAACCTGGTGGCCAACTACAAGAAACGTCTGACCTCTGTGATTGCCAACAAGGGTTTTGCCACCAAGTACTAAGTCATGTTTTGCAGAGGGGTCAAATACTTATTTCCCTCAATAAAATGCAAATCAATTCATAACATTTTTGACATGCGTTTTTCTGTCTCTCACTGTTCAAATAAACCTACCATTAAAATTATAGACTGATCATTTCTTTGTCAGTGGGCAATGTACAAAATCAGCCGGGGAATCATATACTTTTCCCCCCTCACTGTACACAAATGTAACAAAATCCTGTTATTGCCAATTTAACAGTTGATTGGAACTGTTCAACAGTTGATCGTAGAACTTGTTTTTAAGAATTTCAGCTCTGACGCAGCAGTTTCATATTTGCCCCAGTTCACTGTTGATAGAAATATAAATTACATGTTATGTTTGCCTGTGATGCTGTCTTCTGCCTATTTCATCTATCCGCTTTTCTATACTTCTAAGTTTGCCTAATATAGTTGTCTCTGAGGTCTGTGATTTTAAATCCAATGTCCATCCTCTCTTTTTCTGCTTCTAGGTGATGCCATGTCTGACCTTTTCCGGAAGCCCATGAGTGATGATGGTAAACTTTACACCTCACTCCTGTCCAATCAGAGCTACCCCTCAGTCCAGGATGCCTCTTACCAGTCTGATGATCTGAAGCGTTCCTCTGACCTCTCCTCCCAGGACACCTTCGACTCCTACGGCATCTTTGGTTCCCCCCACACCAAGATGACCACTGACCTGGTTGATGAGATGCCCAAGTCCCTGCTGGGTAGCTCTGAGTTGAAGACTGAGGCCTACAACTACATGGATATCAGCCATGGTGATGACGTCCACAACGTGCGCTGTCCACAACCAGCGCCCCTGCATAGTCTGGTGGACACTGGGCTGTCTGGCCTGGACTCCCTGGGAGACTACATGGATAAGAGCCCTGCAGGACACGAGGAGGAGGAGGAGGAAGAGGAGGAGAACCTGGGTCCGGCACTGGACTCCCACTCCTTCCCTTACGTAGAGGAGCCTTCTGAGGATGAGGAGCTGTCTGACTACCACTCCTACCGCAACCTGGGCACCCCTCAGACCGCTAGCCCTGTGAAGATCATCCTGACCGAGTCCCACCCACCTGCTGCCGCCAAACCCATCCTCCCGCAGGCCAACGTGTCTGACAACATCCTCAGCCTGGGCTTGCAGGGCGTCCCCACGGTTACGCTCTCTGAGCCAGAGGACGACAGCCCCAACTCATCCCCCAATGCATCCCCAACAGGTAGCTATCGCCCACGCCCTCCCACTGTGTCCTTGTGAGTTAGAGTTCACCATAACAATGGTCTATGGTCTTGGACTATGGTTTAATTATAATTTATGTACAGTATTTCAAGTTTGGTCAAAAACATCTAGATTGAAGGATTTTTGTATTTTGGTCGGATCCCCATTAGCTCGTGCTGAAGCACCAGCTACTTTTCCTGGGGTCCACACAAAATATAAAACATTACATAATACAGAACATCAATAGACAAGAACAACTGAAGGACTGAACTACACACATTTAAAATAAGAACAATAGAACCAAAAAAAGTCCTATTGACAGTTGCACACATTGCTAACAGCCACCAACACATCAGTACATATACAGTTGAAGTCGGAAGTTTACATACACTTAGGTTGGAGTCATTAAAACTTGTTGTTCAACCACTCCACAAGTTTCTTGTTAACAAACTATAGTTTTGACAAGTCAGTTAGGACATCTACTTTGTGCATGACACAAGTAATTTTTCCAACAATTGTTTACAGACAGATTATTTCACTTATAATTCACTGAATCACAATTCCAGTGGGTCAGAAGTTTACATACACTAAGTTGACTGTGCCTTTAAACAGCATGGAAAATTCCAGAAAATCAGTCAATAGGAGGTGTACCTGTGGATGTATTTCAAGGCCTACCTTCAAACTCAGTGCCTCTTTGCTTGACATCATGGGAAAATCTAAAGAAATCAGCCTCAGAAAAACAATTGTAGACCTCCACAAGTCTGGTTCATCCTTGGGAGCAATTTCCAAACACCTGAAGGTACCACGTTCATCTGTACAAACAATAGTACGCAAGTATAAACACCATGGGACCACGCAGCCGTCATACCGCTCAGGAAGGAGACGTGTTCTGTCTCCTAGATATGAGCGTACTTTGATGCGAAAAGTGCAAATCAATCCCAGAACAACAGCAAACGACCTTGTGAAGATGCTGGAGGAAACAGGTACAAAAGTATCTATATCCAAAGTAAAACTAGTCCTATGTCGACATAACCTGAAAGGCCGCTCAGCAAGGAAGAAGCCACTGCTCCAAAACCGCCATAAAAAAGCCAGACTACGGTTTGCAACTGCACATGGGGACAAAGATCGTACTTTTTGGAGAAATGTCCTCTGGTCTGATGAAACAAAAATATAACTGTTTGGCCATAATGACCATCGTTTTGTTTGGAGGAAAAAGGGGAAGGCTTGCAAGCCAAAGAACACCATCCCAACCGTAAAGCGCGGGGGTGGCAGCATCATGCTGTGGGGGTGCTTTGCTGCACCCCCACAGCATGTGCACTTCACAAAATAGATGGCATCATGAGGAAGGAAAATAATGTGGATATTTTGAAGCAACATCTCAAGACATCAGTCAGGAAGTTAAAGCTTGAAGCATATACCTACATAGGTGATTGAAAGATGAACAAGGGCCATACTCCAGTCCATTTGGTGATGGCAATGCACCTAGGTTAGTTTCCAACTGCCATATAAAATCCATAGAAGAAGAAGAATGAACAAGGAGAAAAACAAATCAGTGGATTAATTGTAGAGTAGAGAACACACGTTTTTGTATGACTCAACATAAGAAATTCTACAAAGGACCATATGCATTTCAGGTAAAATAACAACCCAATGTTTATTTTCCTGGACAAATTAGTTAGCAACAGCAAGCTAGCTAAATGTCCATGAATGTTTCATGTGTGTTTCGACCTGTCCGCAAATTAATTTAGTTGGTTCACAGTTGGTTTTGGTATTTTAACCTGCGTGTCATGAACGCGTCTGGTGGGGATAGACAAAACAACACGCAGACGATGGCACACGCAGACGCATATGCAGAGCCGGTTTGGCAGCATGTAAGAGTTATTTAGGTCAGATAGGGGAGAGGCGTTGTGTTTTATTTCTTTTTCTAAGCTAATTTTGCTGTTCACTTGTGTAATTAGAGATGGAAGGGAGTTCCATGCGATCATGGCTCTATTAATACTGTGCGTTGTCTTGAATTTGTTCTGGATTTGGGGACTGTGAAAAGACGCCTGGTGACATGTCTGGTGGGGTAAGTATGTCTGTCAGAGTTTTCAACACTAATATTTCTCACAAAAACAAGAATTGATGCAGTCAATCTCTCCTCTACTTTGAGCCAAGAGAGACTGACATGCATACTGTTAACATTAGCCCTCTGTTTACATTGAAGGGCAAGACGTGCTGCTGTGTTCTGGGCCCGCTGCAGCTTTTCTAGGTCCTTCTTTGCAGCCCTTGACCATATCACCTGGCAATAGTCAAGATTATATCAAACTAAAGCCTGCATGACTTGTTTGGTCAATGGTGGTGTTAAAAATGCTGAGAATCTCTTTCAAACAGACAGCCCTCTCCCCATCTTTACAACAATTGAATCAATATGCCTTGACAATTTACAGTCTAAGGTGACACCAAGAAGTTTAGTCTCCTCAACTTGCTCAAGAGCCACATCATTCATTACCAGATTCAGCTGAGGTCTAGAATTTAGGGAATGGTTTGTACCAAATACAATGCTTTTAGTTTTAGATATGTTCAGTTTATTACTATCCACCCATTCCAAAACTGACTGGCACTCTTTGTTTAGGGTTGCAGGGATTTGACTAGCTGTGGTTGCTGATGTGTATAAGGTTGAAGCATCAGCGTACATAAACACACAGGCTTTGTTTAATGCTAGTGGTAGATCATTAGTAAAAATAGAGAACATTAAAGTGCCAAGAGAGCTGCCTTGCGGAATACCACACTTTCATGTTTTACATTAGAGAAGCTTCCGTTAAAGAAAACCCTCTGTGTTCTATTGGATAGATAGCTCTCAACCCATGATATGGCAGAGGGTAGGGATGGGCATTTGAAATCATTTCACTATTATTCACTCTTTGAATAATATATATCCGGATAGTCAAAATACATGTTTGTTTTTGAAACGTATGTTTTTAACCTGAGCCCTTGCACGAGGCTGAGATGCAGACGGTTCTGCTCTACTGCTGATACAGCAGCGGGCAGAGGAGGGGCTGGTGTGTGTGTGTGTGTTTTATGAGAAGAGAGAGAGACTAGAAAGTAGCCACGCTGGCTTGCGCCACTTAGACAAACTGGCTATCTATCATCCCATGTCAGTGCCTGTCTTGACAGCATAAAATCAATATAGAGAAGATGGCTAAACTAGCCAGCTAGCTAACTAGCTAATTGAGGCTACAATCCTTGTAAACAAATAACACCATGATTCAGATTAAACAACAGCCTACCTGTTGGTTGTTCCTTGTAGCTTCTGCTAAATGACAAAAATGTAAATGTAGCTAGTGCTGAGCGATTTAGTGCTTTTTGAGGTTTGGTTTTTGATTTCGGTTTCTATTATTTTTTTTTACATTAAATGCATTATGAAAGAATGACATTACAAGCTTTTTAATGTTAATTCCAAAGCCAAAAACAGTGAACATTAAATTGCCAACAACTAAATATTTAATTGTCTCTGTCAGGTCCACATTGGGTAGACATCAATAGAAAAATAGGACATTACTATGAAATAATAAAATATTTCAGTTGTGTATATAACTTTATTATTTTGTATTCCTTAAAGTCATCATCTCATCTCTGCAGTAGCAGTCAGTCAGCCAGCCAGACCATCTAACGTTATCTATGTGCTCCCCATTCTGTACTGTCTTTAGTCATCCTGTTTAGTCTGCCTAAGTATGAATGAGTAGTTTAATAACCGGAAAAAATACTAAATGTTGGTTAATCGCGCAGCACTAGTTGTAGCCCAGTCGTTCTCATTTAGTTAACTTTTAGTCCGTAATTTTTATTCAATTTTGCATTGATTAGATATCTCTCACTTCACTTGCTACACATGGAACCTCTGACTGTAGAGCAGCTTTGATTAGATGACAAAAATCCACAAGCTACACGCATAGATGGCTACTGGTATATCTTTCTTTATGCCGCACGTCATAAAAACTACATTTTAAGTTTGTTTTATTCAATTAAAATAATGTACGTCATTCTTGTATGTAACAATGTCACATGGATAGTTACATTTACTTCAGACAAAGCATTTTCATCGTTAATTAAATTAGGCCTATAATTATTTTTCTCAGAAATGATTACTCACACAAGTATTTCATAATACTAACGTCTGTTCGGATATTTAAATAATCATGCCCATCCCTAGGCAGAGGATGTAAAGCCATAACACATAAGTTCTGCCATTAACAGATTATGGTCAATAATATTGAAGGCTGCACTGAAGTCTAACACTACAGCTCCCACAATCTTATTATTATCAATTTATTTCAGCCAATCATCAGTCAGTGCAGTGCAGTACAGTGCAGTCACTGCAGTACATGTTGAGTGCCCTTCTCTATAAGCATGATGAAAGTATGTTGGTAATTATTTCTCAGAGAAATAGCATTGTATCTGGTCAAACGCAATTATTTCCAAACGTTTGCTAAAAACCGTCTGCAAGCTGATTGGTCGGCTGTTAGAACCAGCAAATGGCTCTTTACCGTTCTTGGGTAGCTTCACTGCAGGTCTGAGGACAAACAGTTTTTCTCCAGTTATGTTAAAGATATGACAAACAGGAGTGGCAATATAGTCCACTAAATTGTCAAAACCAAGTGGTTTCTCATTATTGATGGACAACAATCATTTTTCTACCTCTCCCACACTAACTTTACAGAATTCTAAATTGCAATGCTTTTCTTTCATTATTAGATATTTTATGCATGAATATATGATGGCTCACAGTTTGTTGTTGGTATTTCATGCCTGAGTTTGCCCACTTTGCCAGTGAAATAGGCATTCAATTAATTGGCATTATCAAAAGGTTTTGTGCTGAATGAGCCTTCTGATTCTGATAACTTAATTTAAAGTACTCCAAAGCTTTTTTCCATCATACTGTATATGAATTATCTTAGTTTCATAATACAGTTTATTCTTCTTTTTGTTCAGTTTAGTAACAATTTCTCAATTTACAGCAAGTTTGCCAATCAGATGTGCAGCCAGACTTATTAGCCACTCCTTCTGCTTCATCTCTCTCAACCATACAGTTTTTCAATTTCTCATCAATCCACAGAGCCTTAACAGTTATAACAGTTCATTTCTTAATAGGTGAATGCTTATCAATAACTGCAGTATTAGTAAAAATTTGACCAATAAACGTGGTGATATAGTTCCTGTAGTGTTTGTAAACACCCTGGTAGGTTGATTAATAACCTGAACCAGATTACAGGCACTGGTTACAGTGAGAAGCTTCCTCTTCTTACGAACTTCTTAACTATCTTTTTAAAATTATTGTCGCTAGGCAACCGAGCTCGCTATTTAGATAGCTAGCAAGGGCAATCATGTTAGCATCTTACTGAGATTACTGGTCTACATTTTTTGGGATTTAAAACAATCAATACTGAACTTTCAGATTACATTTGTGAGTCAATTAAACATGTTCAATTGCATTCATTAGCTTATTTTCTCACTTCCATGAGTTTAAGACAAGGGTTTAGCTATCTTTGAATTAAGAACATTTCGGAGCAAAAATCCAATAACTTTCTTTTCAAGAATCTAATTTATTTTAAACTATTTTCTTAGAAAGAAACATGGGAAGAAACTTACGAACATTTACAATAACTGTATTGAGCAATAGCATTTTTTTGTAAGTTTCTTCTTAAGTATAAAGTTAAGGAAAAAATTGCACTTAAGAAAACATTTCTTCTTAAGAAGGTTTTGTGAATCTAGGCCCCGTCCCTCTCGGGTTTGATCATCCAATATTTTGTTTGTTGTATCCACCAATATTTGAACAAAGCTCTTGAAGCTATTCTCATGCTGTTGAAACAGCTCCTTTAAAAGAGTTTAAAAGATCTTTCACCTGCGTTAGAGAAACACTGGCCTCTGCAGCTATAGGTGGCATGGTAGCAGCATCAGCTAACGTTGGTAGCTATACCACGCAATTCCAGCTAGGTCAGGTCGCAGGGAAATAGCAGCAGGGAATACAGCCACAAGACCGGGAGACTTCTGCGGTCCCAGTCACAAGGGCTAACCGCATCATGGGCTAACCACATTGTGGGCTGTGTTCAAGCTGTTTGTGGAAAACCCTGCTAGCTTGATAGCTACAAACTAGGCTAGTAGCTAGCTACACCAAACAACTTCAGACTTTTTTGGTTTGGTAGGATCCCGGGACAGATAGCAGTGGTCACAGCAACTGAGGCTAACCGCGTCGCGGGATCTAAAATCAATAAGTATATAAACCAAACTTTCTGAGGAAACCCTGTCACAACTTTACAAAAACAACAAACCGAGCCCTCTCAACTGAGCTTTCTCATCTAGTGTTCAGCATGCATTGCTCTCTGATTTATAGGTTTACAACAAATCATAAAAGGACATAAAAACACGTTAAAGATGCATTGAATGTCTCTTATTAGCACTCTAATTCGGCTCTTTTTTTTTTTTCTCTATCTCTGCAGAAAAAGAATCCCCTTCCCAAGACCTGTTCAAGGCTGTCCCCGGCAGCAAGCCGACCCCGGGCTCCACCAAGGCCAGGGAGCAGGACGGCAGCAGTGCGGAGTCTGGGGACTCTGAGATAGAGCTGGTCTCTGAGGAGCCCCCCTTGCGGAGCCCCCCCAGCACCAAGTCCAGTAACAACCCCTTCGAGCAGCCTCCCAGCAGCAAGGGAGGTTTCAGACAGGCTGGCAACCCCTTCGACAACCCCCCCAGCACCAAGGGGCCCACATCCTACAGCATCCTTAGGGAGGAGAGGGAGGCTGAGCTGGACAGTGAGCTCTTCATCGAGTCTGCCAATGAGGAGAGCCCCAAGAGAGAGGGGTCCGGCACCAAACAGGGGGTCAACACACCTTCACCTCTGATCCTCACTGCCGCATCCCCCGCCCGCCCCGCCCCAGAGGTGGTCCCAGCCGAGCCTGTGACGAGCTCCATGATAAAATCATCCAATGACAGGCACAAGAGCCCCATAAAAATGGAGGAGGATTGCCCAACTAAGCCCAAGCCCCCCACAGCCACAGTGCCCCCGGAGGTGAGGTCTGAGAGGCCCTTCCTGGACGACAAGCACGTCACTGAGGGGAAGGGAGACCTGGCTAAACCTGCTGCGGCAGTCTTTATGGAGGGCTTTGACAAACAGAAAGGTAAGTCCTGTAATTCATCAACTTGTCCTCGTCTGTTGATTCAGAATTTGTATGTTATTTCTGGAATGAACCCTTATAGCCTGCATTCCAACATACAATCTGTAGTGATAAACCGAACTAGTTACACTGTTATCCCTCCTTGAAGCCATGTTATCTTCATAACTTATCTTTCCTTGTTGCAGTTGTGTTGCATCTGCATTATATCATCACAACACTCCAGAAATTGCTCAACCAGCTTATGGAACAGGTAGTATGGTATCTGTTGGTGCATTTGTTTGTCAGTGGAGGATCCAATGGCTGTTTGGTTGCCGTGTTTTAACACTAGTAACTGCACGTTTTTTACCAGGCTGTTGGTATGACAATGGAATCCCTCTAATACAGCAGGTTGTTAATTTACTGTTTTTACTGCCCTGAGTGTGTGATGCACCAGAAGAGATAACATGGAGGGTCATGGTGCGTTGTTATATTGCCTGTGTTGACAAGGTCAGGAATTGTGTTGCTGTGAGAAGGCTTGTTCCGTTCTCTCTGTGCTGTGGTGGGTGTGAGCATCTTGGATTATGAGCTGCTGCATGATTTCAAGATCTGCTTCCCTCTGGTGGTAGGCTACAGTTACAAAACATATCTGAGACCACCATTTTTATGATGATAATCAACAAAGGATGAGCTTCTATCTATTCTACATCATTGAATATATCATAACTAATGCCTCACTCTCATACAGTATTTTTAGACAGCCTTGACTCTCTCTTCCAAATCCCAAACAGACCATCTGTTTCCTAACACCCAGTACCATCATCATGTCAGGAAGTAACTCAGACAGACATATGATCACAGATCAAGACAGCCAGTTCGAGCCAGAGATCTTTGTGTGTGTTAAGCTGGGCGTTTTGTGTTGCCACTTATTTGTCTTTTTCTGTTTGCTTCTTTTTCATCCTTCTTGTAAACAGTGGGTTTATGTAACCCTGTGATGTCAAATCTGGAGCACACAAGCATCGACTTAAGCATAGGAGGATTCACTTTATGTGCGACTAGATGCAGTGACAGAAATATCACATTGGAGTGATTATTATTCTATCGTTCCTTAGCTGTCACAGGACAATATCCACCTGTGGTATGTAACTGCCGCTCTTTATTCCGATGGGGAGAATAAAGAGGAATGAAAACACTGACGATGTGCTTGAGGAAAAGCCGAAGCCCCCCTCCTCTCCTGGTGTTTACAAACAGAAACACACAGAAGGTTCTCGAATTCCTAAAAGCAGGTCAAGCCATTTGATAAAGTTTATATTCCTCCACCACTAGGTGGTGGAGAGCACCATAGACTATAACAGAGGTCCGTATGTATGCTGGAGAGAGAAGACAAGCAGAGCAGACATCATGTACCACAGCCTGTGCAGCTCCACAGAAGTTGCCATGGCAACACCTTCCTAGGGGGCGCAGACAGCACAGGCTCATATAATTTTTAAGGTTGCAGCAAGCAGAGGGTGTGACGGGACGTCAACAGGGCTGTCTGTGCACAGACTGACTGTACCAATGTCACTGAAATAGAGGGAGTCAATGTTTATGACATTATAAATCATGAGGATATGGTTATTCTCTATCCAAGCCCACAGACACTGTTTAGACGTGATACTGTCCGTTGCACACAGCTCGTTACATGCCTCCATGCATCACTGTGAGTCCATAGCGCTTTGTCAGGCCATTTGCATTGATAATGCATCCTGGTGGAAAAACCTAAAGCACAAACTGAACCACAGCCTGAAGGCAGTAAACCTAAAAGAACATTGAGGGCTATACTGTAGGCTACGGTGTGATGGTTATAAATTATTGAAAAGACTAGCACGTAGACTGCTCAATAATTAGTGAGACGTATTGAAAATAGCTACAGTATTTGCGTGATATTGACTGCAAACTTAAACATTATTTTATGCAAAGCATACAAAGGGCAGAGTTGACTATTTGCCAGATTATTCATTGGCAACGCTAGGTCCATACCCCAGCAGTAGCCTATAGAATCCTCAGTCCTAACACAAAACAATGTTTATAATGATGAATGTACACACACATGCTGTGAGCCGTCTGTTGTGGGTCTGTGTTCTGTGTGTGTTTTTATATGTGTGTTAACGTGAAACGGTACGTTGGACCAGGGTGTGTCATTGTTATCACTCTCCTGGTCTGAGGGCTCTGCGGGGAGCTGTTTTCATGGCGGAGTCTTTAGGCTCAATGCTGTAAAAGATGACGTCAGATTCTTTACATTGTAATTTCAACCTGGCACCTTATCTGGAAATTATCTTATATACAATATGGATCATGATAAAACTAGCCTGGGGGGCGGGCTAGGATATATGCCTATTTCCGACTGAGCTTCATCAAAGGGTATGTTGGTTAACTCTTTCACTGCCAATCCCCCCCGCCCACCGCCCTAGTCTGCTTTGAGATTCAGGATCAGCACGGGAACTTTTATTGTGAAATAGTGCTTACCTCCCCTTTCAAGAAAAATACCCCCCCTCCCAAGGCACTAAATCATTGCATGGATGATTTGCTGCAGTAGCGACTGTGGTGTGGTATTTACAATTCGATCACCCCCCACACTCCCTCTCCTCCTTCCGTTCTCGCTAGCACTGCTCCACAGCATCAGTCTGTGTGCTCCGCGAGCCGACCAGTACCTTGACAACCTTGCCTCCCTCCTTTCCTCCCTCCCTCTCGTCTCCGCATCTCTCCCTCATCTCATCCTTCCAACCATTCATGCCATTGTGGGATTAGTGAGTGAGTCAGTGGCACAAGAAGAGGAAGAGCTAGCAGAAAACAGAGAAATCTAAAAGAAAGGGAAATCAGGGAGTGAACTGATCATCAGCATGCAGTCCACTGCAGACGTTACCAAGAAGGAGTGCTCCTGGAGCAGCTGGAAAGGCCAGGGTACTGATGTCTTTGCTGTGTTTGTGTGTATCTCTGTCTGTGTGTTAGAAGTGTGTATCTAGGCTGTGAGTGGTGAACTGATGTGTGAGGAGCATGTGTATTTATGCTGCTAGTGCAGATCTAGTTTGTGTGTGTGTTTATGACAGGGGGATGTTGCATGTATGGTTGGGGTGGTATCCATGGTGTGTGTTAGTCGGGGCCTGGGTGATCAGGCTGAGCTCTTTACCTTCACCGGGGGGGGGGGGTCACAACAGACACGCCCTGATCATGCTCTCTCTCTGGCGTGTGAGACAAAGGGCAAAGGCGGGTGTGTGGGTGTGAGACGTCGCTGTTTATAATGATGAATGTACACACACACACATGCTGTGAGCTGTCTGTTGTGTGTCTGTGTTCTGTGTGTGTTTTATATGTGTGTTAACGTGAAACCAGGGTGTGTCATTGTTATCACTCTCCCAGTCTGAGGGCTCTGTGGGGGAGCTGTTTTCATGGCGGAGTCTGTGAGCTGTTTTTGTGTGCGAGGCTGCCGGAGCATCCGGATAGCACTGACAGACTGTCTCCATGGCAACCAGGGCACACCCATCCTGATTACATCAGTCTCATCCATCGGCTGCCAGGGTACCTTGCAGCTACTGGGAGAGAAAGGCACAGCCTCTGTCTGCCTCTTTCTGGTGTGCATTAGCATCACCTCTGGGTTAGGAGGAGGACGGGGAGGGAAAATGGTTTCCCTTCCTCCTCCCTGCCTTTCCAACTGGCTGTAATTTTCTATGGCAGCCATGTTTATTATACTGTATTGTGTGTAAGAGGGAGATGGAGTTGGTTGGTCTGCCTTTTCCTTACCTGTGAATGACAGTGGGTGATTTTAAGAATATATTTAGAATGGAAAATAGAATAGAATCTACCAAATTGAAATGTAAGACTATAGCCTACATTATCTTCTAAAAAAAGAGAAGATGCCACACATGGGCCTGGTGAAACTATATTTTAATTGAACAACAATAAGTAGGTCCTTTTATTCCGGCACTAGGAGTTGTGAGCAGAATAGCTTGTGTTCAATGAGCTTTCACTATGGCCTGGAATATGGTTTTAGGCTGTGTTTATGAAAAGGCCTATGTCATCATCTGTCTGATGGGGTTTGTTTAAAACTGATTCACTCTACTTTATTTGCCTCTTAAAAATAAAAGTTCATACAGTCAACACACCCAAGGGTGAAATTGACCATTTGGGTGTTCTTTAGTTTGAATAAGCTGTTAAAGCAAAGTACTGTACATACAGGCTTGTCTACATGTTTACGCATGCTGGCTTGGAGTATGGTTTGAGGCGGTGTCGATAACTTTAGTTGTCTAATCGGGTCAGGCTCAAACTGGTTCACTCTGCTTCTACCCAAAAATGTAGGCTAACCTGAAGAGTAAGAAAATTGCATCAGCTTGTTGAGTTCGAGTATCAGAACCAGAAATCATACAGTGTTTGGCTGCGTGTCACGGTACTTCCTGTACATTCTGGTTCCACTTCCTGTGTTCATGATGGCTGGGAGGGACAGTAATAATCCACAGGGTCTCTACAGACCAGAGAGCTTGACAGCAAACCTCACCCATGAACCTAGGCCTACTACTATTACTTTACTGTATAGAGTACCATCCACATATTATCATAAAAGAAAAGCAAAACCAGCCCTTAACCCATTCATGTCCTTGTACTATATCAAAATGAGCCACTGAACAAATTCTGTTTGGTGTTAATGCATGAAATGTGGTGTCAACATAGTACAAGTGTCTAGACAGGCCACATTTTACGTTTTAAGATTGTCATTATCTATCATACTTCCAGTGTCAATCAAAGTTGGGATTTTAAAATGACTTTAGCATTTGTATTTTGAAATACATTTCAGAATGAAATTGTTTAAAAGCAGATAATATTGTTATTTGACCTGTTCTATGCCCAAATATGCCAAATATATGATTCAACTCATTGTCGTATCAGCAACGTTTAGAAACCTGTTTACACCATGTGCATGACTGATGCCTGCATGTTTTACCGGCCCTTTGTCCTTTTGTGTTGAACAATAAAGGGAGTGGCTGGGTGTGTGTCGGTGTAGACATGGTACGTGTCCCTCATTCCCCAGATTCAGACAAAGCAAGTGAATCTGTTTCCCAGGAAGTGCTTTCGCTCCCGCCCTCCATCTCTCCCTTTCCTTGCTTCCCCCCTCCTCTCTCTCTGTGAGTGGAGGGGGAGAAAATGGAGCACCGTAGCTATGGTAACTGCATCAGGCAGGCGCTCACCAGATCCTCACAGAGCTGAAGCATTTTAATAGAGCAGTATATTTCAGGCAGCATCTTTCAACCTCAGTATACAGTGCTAATAACACCCTCACTGACCTTGCAGATCTGCTGCGACACCCACTCACAAGACGCTATACTGCCAATGAAGTCACATGCTGCGGGCTATTGATAAGAGAATAAGTAAATGATCGGAAATAACTCCATCTTCTTGCCTGGTGGAGGGAGATACCCATCCACCATTTTGAATCGGATACAGTCTCTTTATTTTTGTCCTTGCTTGGTAGTCTGTCATTTGTCAGTGGGGCTGTGCTTTAAAACCAGGGTATGAAAGAGCTCACTGAGATGGTGTGTGTGTGTGTGCTGGATCGCAGCTCAGCTCTCTGGCAACCGCTCCCCTTAACGCCCACCCTCCAATCCTCCTGCCAAGACCAACGATGATTAGCCTGTGTGCTTGTGGCCCCTCCCCTCCCTGGGGGGGAGGGGGGGGGGGGTAGTCCCCCTTCAGTGCTCTCCTTTTGTCTGTGGATAAAGCAGCTGCCTCTTTCCCTGTTCAGCCATGGGAACCGCAGGTCAGTACACACACTTCTACCGCACTAGCTAAAGCTTTTCTCTCTTTGTGCAATCTGTAGATCAGATCACAAGGTACAGTTGCTGCTGTTTGTCAAGTCTCTCTGGCATTGCTGTCCTGCCTGTCTGTCTTACAGCTGCTTTGCTTGGTGCGTGTGTGAATGTGTATGTTTTTGTTATTCAGCATCTCCATTATAAGCAATACTGTAGATAAATGGCAAATCATAGAGAGTGGGTTAGTGACTAGTGATATTGGTACTGGGTTTAAAGGGAGTGGCACTCAGTCAGATATAGAGATAATCCAGCCTGATTTATTAGAGTTATTGATTACAGGGACAGAGGTCAGCCAGTATTGGTTATTGATAAGGGCATCTCAGTCTTGATGACTTGGGCATATGATTATGGGGAAATGGCAGAAGCAGAACCTAGCATTGAACCTGTCACCCACAAACAGAGAGGCGGTAAAACTAGTGTCTTTCAGCACCCTGTTTTAGAACGCCTTTTTTTCATCCACAGATGCCTATGGTAGAAAATAAAGATGGCCGTCATTTCTGTGCTGCTCACAGCTCCACAGCTAAAATTAGTGCAGGCGGGCAAGCAGGCAGGCAGGAGGGCTTAGGGAGGAAGACACCCAGGGGAAACTGCAGCGTTTTACTCCTCTCTTGAACAGGAGCACAAACTCTCTGGAACTGACTTATTCTCCTCGTAAAAAAGAGGGCTTGCAGGTGTCACATCAACAGTTGAACATTGAAATACCGGATTTAAACTGAGCCATAGTCACTGGATGTGGAAGAGTCAGCTCACTACTGTTGATAAACCAGCCACTGTTCTCATGGAAACAAGCCTGTGTTAACAGCCAACATAGGAGAGGGCTGTATGGGTCACTGGAGTTGAGCTGGAATGGTACACTGACTCAGGCCTAATCCAGGGGTGATAAACCTGTGTAATCTTTGTTGGGGGTTGAAAATGTATGCCCTAAAAAACAGAGATAGCAGGACATGACACCAGTCTTTTAAGACGTCATTCAATTGAATGTATAAAATAGTATAGATTGAAAGAAAGCTTATTTAGGTTACCAACTAGGCTATATCCCCTTTGGGTGTTTACTAGTGTGCCTTATGATGTAGCCTAGTTTGTTCATTCTTATGGTCCCAAATGGGCCTCTCACCTGTTACTGTGATCTAGTTCCTCTGGCCGTAGAGCTGTAAAATGACCAGGTCACTATCGGGATCTATTTCTGCCACTGGCTCCACAGGTCAATGATTAACCCAGCTCTGTGAATGGCTAGTACAGTTGTGCTACTGGGGAACCAGGTTGTGTTAGGGTACTGCAGGGTCGCCTGTGTGTGTGACCAGGCCAGGTGCTGACCACTACTACTGATAATCACACGTATCACTGGCAGATAAAGTGCTACCACCGGTGTGCGGCAACATGAATTGTGTGACGCTTGTTCAACAAGTAAGAGTCAGCTCGCTGTTATCGTTTGCAAAGGTCACTCTATATATAGGGGAAAAGAAGCCGGACAGAAGCGTTTTCACTTTGACGCATTCACACCTACGTTTATGAATCCACAGCTCAATCAAACGCAATAAAAATATAGGTTAGAGCAAAATCCCACACGTCAGGGGTCTCTGAGGACTTCTGGTTGCTATGGGCTTCCAGTTATTTGACCTAAATGCCTGGGACACACGGGATTACCGCACTGTAAGTGATATCACAACGTAGACAGGAACACTGTAAATTGAGCACTGTGAGGTCATTCTATCACTGTAATGCTGAGGTGACCGATGGTTGGATCATACTGTGTCATGCTGGGGTGACCTTACGGTTAGGTCATCATACTGTCACTGTGTAATACTGGGCCTAACCCTGGATCCTAACCCTGCTCTCCTGTCTGTCCTTCCCCCAGCCATTGACCTGCTCTACTGGAGGAATGTGAAGCAGTCTGGAGCTGTGTTCGGCAGCGTGCTCCTGCTGCTCTTCTCTCTGACCCAGTTCAGTGTGGTCAGTGTGGGAGCCTACTTAGCCCTGGCTGCCCTCTCTGCCAGCATCAGCTTCAGGATCTACAAGTCTGTGCTTCAGGCTGTGCAGAAGACCGATGAAGGACACCCATTCAAGTGAGTGAGAGATGATAGAAGATCATAGAGAGGTTTACTCAGCACAAAAAAAGTCTGCCATTTTACATTCACTCACAGTTTTGCAATGTCACTTTAGCCTGGACACCTAACAGTCTTTTGTACTTTTTCCCGACAGAACCTATCTGGAAGTGGAGATCTCTCTGTCCCAGGATCAGATTGGTAATTATGCTGACAAGGCTCTGCTCTACGCCAACACCTGTATGAAGGAGCTCCGTAGGCTGTTCCTGGTCCAGGACCTCATCGACTCACTGAAGGTCAGCCTCTCTCTCATCTCTGGGCTTTTACAAGAATTACATGGACACTAACACCTTACCAACACTCTACTTTTTAATGTCTGTAATCTCACTACTAGTTCTACTGTCAAACATCATCAATGGACACGTTAAACCTAAAACATCTAATTATTTTATACCTTCTGTCAAACATCCGATACACATACCATAAATTGTTGGGGTGGGTTTGTTTGGTGAAGCAGTGCCAAGAGTTTTTACCCTGTGTTGCAGTTTGCTGTGCTGATGTGGCTGCTGACCTATGTGGGCGCTCTCTTCAATGGCCTGACTCTGCTTATTCTGGGTGAGGATCCTCCTATGACTAGCTACTGTGCTGTTCTACTCAGCTCTGCACCCCTTTACTGCCTATTGCACACCATGTTCATCCTGACATACAGCTCATATATGATCTCTTCTGTCTAACATCATTTTATAACAAAACGTAATATAATGCATCATATTGAAACCTCTCCATCTACAAGATCACAGAGCCAGTCTGTATGAGTTTTTACTATAACCAGGGGAGTGGGTTGTAATAAGCACGCATCACAGTACCCCATTGACAGTCAATGATTAACCCAACACAGAGAGAACACACGCTGTGGAGCAAAGCAACATGACCTCCCGACAAGATCAACTAACAGCCTGATGTTTGCCTCATCACAACATATGGTTCTTCATGGAACCAGAAAGAGTTTTACTGCAATCTGTATCAATTAAGTTCTGTATAATAGTGGATAATTCCCTTCTGCCCTTTTGAGCAAAAACAATTGATTTCAATCCTAGATTAAAGTTTAGTTGGCTTCACATCCCAAAAAGATCCATGTGATGAAATTCCAACATTACATTTATGAATGGCTTTGTTCAAAGGATTCATTCACAACTGAAGACAAAACGTATCTCATATGTGTTATTTTTCTATTTACCTAGTGTAGATAAGTCTCTGAGCTGGGGTGGGGCTCTGTGGACACAATTTGTGCATATTTGGGTATATTCCCAGGGGGACTCGAGGTCAAACTGCTTTAACATGCGCGCTCTCCCTCTTCCCCTACAGCCGTGGTGTCCATGTTTAGCATGCCCATTGTGTATGAGAAACACCAGGTAAGAATTTACCTTCACTCTCTAAAACACATTTTTAACTCAATTTTTGTTAATTTTTAATTTAATCTAAATTGTTTTCTGTCTCAGGCACAGATTGACCAATATGTTGGACTAATACGGACCCAAGTGAACTCCGTAGTGGGGAAGTAAGTAGTTATGACCTTTTGTACTCCAGAATGAACACTGTAGTTTCTGAAACATCCACCTAAGAAATAGATTGTAATGATCATCTTGATACAAACTAGAAAAGGTTAATGACTACACTGTGACATAAATCAGTACTGTATCCGAGTTGACCTCATGTTTTGTCACGACAGGATCCAGGCGAAGATCCCCGGGGCCAAGCGAAAGGAAGAGTAGACCTGAGTCTAGCTAACAGCCTCGTCATTATCTGTGGGGTAGTACTATGTCATCTAGGTGTTCTCTAAAACCAACCACTGGAGAAACCCTGACCCCAAAACTGTCTAGAACGGTTAACACACTAACACACAGTAAATCACTCATGTTCAAGATCTTATGTCTAGGTAGACAAGTACACAATTCTGAACAACAAAAAAAGAACCAGCCTTTTTTTTATTTTGTGTTACTTGTTAAGTGCATGAAGTCAAGCCTTGAGTAAATATTTGATATCTTTTGTGCAGTTTTTTCATGCTACGTTTTTTTGCTGTGCTTACAACAAGCTAAGATTTGGCACAAAAAAAGAGATATGCCTACAGAAATGCTCTGCTGCCAATGTTAAATACTGCTTAATGTTTGAGTTAGCTGGTGGGCCTTCTCTCAGTATATGACAATATATATAAATACAATGATTTCCTTTTGGTGTTTTCAAGCACAAAATAATTAGACAATATGCGTTTTAGATGTGGTAATTGTAGGGTTTTTGCTTTTGTATAACTATAAGGAACTATACACAAGCTGGTGTTTTAAGTACCGTTGTTTGACTACTATGAAGACGAGGAATATCTGATGATATTTAACTTGTTTGAATTAACTGTCCAACTATACTCAATGTAGTTCTTAGACCCTGGACTAACTATTTGCACTTACAGTATGTATTTCATTACAGAATAAGAAAAATAAATGTTCCTTGATGTATTATGTTATAGTTTTTCAGACGCTTTACTGAAAATGGGGTCTAAGACAACTTTCTTTTGACTAGGGCAGTCTAGTCGTGTTAGAAATAAGAGGACATATGAGGTGTTAATGTTTCGTAGGGGTACACGGTGCATACAACACTGGGAAAATCTCTAAAGGGATTTGAAATGACATTCTATAAATACACGTCGATTCCTTCTGGCACAGAAGCTCCTTTCCTCTTGCGTGCCTGCATGCGCATGTCAGTATGCTGAGGTGACAAATTTAACTTGGCTGTTAGGTCCCTCTGATGGCCTATTCCTGAGTTTGAATGGAGACCGACAGTGACTGACAAGTCTCATCTGTTGTAAGCACTCGTGTATTTTTGTAAGTACAGTATCGAACTGAAACTAGCACCATACCTTCAGACTTTAAGTCAGATTAATTTATACAAAAACAAGGAATGCCATTTATTGTTTAAATATCACTAATTATCAAAATGGGAAAGGATAGGTGTTTGGAAAGTATAATTACACCAGCACAGCAATAGAAAAGCTGAACAACATAAAAACACAGGACATAGGAGAAGCAATTATCAAGTGTCCCTCCTGAGGGTTTCCATAAGCAAGAATCTTGTAAAAAGATAAATAAGAGTAGTGGAGGTGAAAACAGGACAGCATGCTGTGCTTCTGGTTGCTGCTTTAGAATGGGCTCATATGTTGAGCAGTGTTGAGTAGCTGGAACAGGACCTCTTTGCTCTTTACACCTTCCTTCTGGAAAATCTCCATCTTCTGACTGGGATCCACCTGCACACAAAATGGTCACACCATACACGCTCAATATAATTGTTTTAACACTAGAAATTATGATTAATATGGACCTTACGCTCTATAAAAGCTCAGGACAGAATTGATTGAAGTGGGGGAAACTAACATTACACCATGAATTCAAGCAATACCTGGTTCCATTGCTTTGGTTCCTCATGGTACACAGGAACAAGGTCTTCTCGAGGGGGTGACTTTGTAAACAGACTGATGAGGCGTTCACGGCAGTCCTCCTGCAGGCTTTTGATCCTGTCAGGCCCCAGATGCAGAGGACCGTTGGGCCCCTCACACACCAGACGGTTGATGGCACCACGCAACGCATTGATCCAACACAAAACACACTGATTATATGTGGAAAGTTGAAGCTCATGTTTTATAACACAATACATATGGATATGAAGGGTCTATGAGGAACTACATGGGTGTTAGCTACCTCTGTCCTCTACATCGAATTTGACAAAGGCGAGCTCCATGTCATGTTCAGGCAAGACAGCCGGCTGAGACTGGACGTTCCACCCCAGACCACAGAGGGCGCCAGTGTAGCTGGTCCTCTCCTCGTTGGTGCTGCGGACAACAGGCAAAGTTACATTAACAGACCTTTATGACTAAATGCATGATTTGACGTGAATATGACAAATGATTTATGTTATCATTTAATAAAACACGCCAATCAATTTACATTCCCTATAAGACCTCACATTCCGTAAAAGACATTCCCTATAAAAAAGGTACGGTAGGTAATTTGACTAAATGTGATGAGTATACCATCTCCAAGCAGACTGACCGTAGCTCTATGGCAGGGGTGAAGAGCATGGTGATGAGTGCAGGCAGGCCGTGGATGTGAGGCATCAGTGTGGTCTCCTTCAGTAGAATCCGTGCACCTAGATCACCACACACATATATGCATCTTACTGTTATGACAAAGACAAATATACATATCTGGTAGGGTCTAACCTATTTTTTATTTTATTTTATTTCACCTTTATTTAACCAGGTAAGCCAGTTGAGAACAAGTTCTCATTTACAACTGCGACCTGGCCAAGATAAAGCAAAGCAGTGCGATTAAAAACAACAACACAGAGTTACATATGGGGTAAAAAAATAACATAAAGTCAAAAATACAACAGAAACATATATATACAGTGTGTGCAAATGTAGCAAGTTATGGAGGCATGGCAATAAATAGGCTATAGGGCAAAATAAGTACAATTAGTATTAACACTGGAATGATAGATGCAAGAGATGATGTGCAAATAGAGATACTGGGGTGCAAATGAGCAAAATAAATAACAATATGGGGATGAGGTAGTTGGGTGGGCTAATTTCAGATGGGCTGTGTACAGGTGCAGTGATCGGTAAGGTGCTCTGACAACTGATGCTTAAAGTTAGTGAGGGAGATAAGTGTCTCCAGCTTCAGAGATTTTTGCAATTTGTTCCAGTCATTGGCAGCAGAGAACTGGAAGGAATGGCGGCCAAAGGAGGTGTTGGCTTTGGGGCTGACCAGTGAGATATACCTGCTGGAGCGCATATTACGGGTGGGTGTTGTTATGGTGACCAATGAGCTAAGATAAGGCGGGGATTTGCCTAGCAGTGATTTATAGATGACCTGGAGCCAGTGGATTTGGTGACAAATATGTAGTGAGGACCAGCCAACAAGAGCGTACAGGTCACAGTGGTGGGTAGTATATGGGGCTTTGGAGACAAAACGGATGGCACTGTGATAGACTACATCCAATTTGCTGAGTAGAGTGTTGGAGGCTATTTTGTAAATGACATCGCCGAAGTCAAGGATCGGTAGGATAGTCAGTTTTACGAGGGCATGTTTGGCAGCATGAGTGAAGGAGGCTTTGTTGCGAAATAGGAAACCAATTCTAGATTTAACTTTGGATTGGAGATTCTTAATGTGAGTCTGGAAGGAGAGTTTACAGTCTAACCAGACACCTAGGTATTTGTAGTTGTCCACATACTCTAGGTCAGACCTCTCGAGAGTAGTGATTCTAGTCGGGTGGGCGGGTGCCAGCAGCGTTCGATTGAAGAGCATGCATTTAGTTTTACTAGTGTTTAAGAGCAGTTGGAGGCTACTGAAGGAGTGTTGTCTGGCATTGAAGCTCGTTTGGAGGTTTGTTAACACAGTGTCCAATGAAGGGCCAGATGTATACAAAATGGTGTCGTCTGCGTAGAGGTAGATCTGAGAGTCACCAGCAGCAAGAGCGACATCATTTATATACACGGAGAAAAGAGTCGGCCCAAGAATTGAACCCTGTGGCACCCCCATAGAGACTGCCATAGGTCCAGACAACAGGCCCTCCGATTTGACACATTGAACTCTATCTGAAAAGTAGTTGGTGAACAAGGCGAGGCAGTTATTTGAGAAACCAAGGCTATTTAGTCTGCCAATAAGAATGCGGTGGTTGACAGAGTCGAAAGCCTTGGCCAGGTCGATGAAGACGGCTGCACAGTACTGTCTATTATCGATCGCGGTTATAATATCGTTTAGGACCTTGAGTGTGGCTGAAGTGCACCCATGACCAGCTCGGAAACCGGATTGCATAGCGGAGAAGGTACGGTGGGATTCGAAATGGTCGGTGATCTGTTTGTTAACTTGGCTTTCAAAAACTTTAGAAAGGCAGGGCAGGATGGATATAGGTCTGTAACAGTTTGGATCTAGAGTGTCACCCCCTTTGAAGAGGGGGATGACCGCGGCAGCTTTCCAATTTCTGGGGATCTCAGACGTTACGAAAGAGAGGTTGAACAGGCTAGTAATAGGGGTTGCGACAATTTCGGCGGCTAGTTTTAGAAAGAAAGGGTCCAGATTGTCTAGCCCAGATGATTTGTAGGGGTCAAGATTTTGCAGCTCTTTCAGAACATCAGCTGTCTGAATTTGTGTGAAGGAGAAGCGGGGGGGGCATGGGCAAGTTGCAGCGGAGGGTGCAGAGCTGGTGGCCGGGGTAGTGGTAGCCAGGTGGAAAGCATGGCCAGCCGTAGCAAAATGCTTGTTGAAATTCTCGATTATTGTACATTTATCGGTGGTGATAGTGTTTCCTATCCTCAGTGCAGTGTGCAGCTGGGAGGAAGTGCTCTTATTCTCCATGGACTTTACAGTGTCCCAAAACGTTTTGGAGTTAGTGCTACAGGATGCAAATTTCTGTTTGAAAAAGTTAGCCTTTGCTTTCCTAACTGCTTGTGTATATTGGTTCCTAACTTCCCTGAAAAGTAGCATATCGCGGGGGCTATTTGATGCTAATGCAGTACGCCACAGGATGTTTTTGTGCTGGTCAAGGGCAGTCAAGTCCGAGGAGAACCAGGGGCTCTATCTGTTCTTAGTTCTGTATGTTTTGAATGGAGCATGCTTATTTAAGATTGAGAGGAAAGCACTTTTAAAGAACAACCAGGCATTCTCTACTGACGGAATGAGATCTATATCCATCCAGGATACCTGGGCCAGGTCAATTAGGAAGGCCTGCTCGCTGAAGTGTTTTAGGGAGCGTTTGACAGTGATGAGGGGTGGTCGTTTGACCGCGGACCCGTTACGGACGCAGGCAATAAGGCAGTGATCGCTGAGATCCTGGTTGAAGACAGCGGAGGTGTATTTAGAGGGTAAGTTAGTCAGGATGATATCTATGAGGGTACCCATGTTTACGGATTTAGGGTTGTACCTGGTAGGTTCGTTGACAATTTGTGTGAGATTGAGGGCATCTAGTTTGGATTGTAGGATGGCCGGGGTGTTAAGCATATCCCAATTTAGGTCACCAAGCAGTACGAACTCTGTGGATAAATGGGGGGCAATCAGTTCACATTTGGTGTCCAGGGCACAGCTAGGGGCTGAGGGGGGTCTGTAGCAAGCGGCAACAGTGAGAGACTTATTTCTGGAAAGGTGGATTTTTAGAAGTAGAAGCTCAAACTATTTGGGCACAGACCTGGATAGTATGATAGAGCTCTGCAGGCTATCTCTACAGTAGATTGCAACTCCACCCCCTTTGGCAGTTCTATCTAGACGGAAAATGTTATAGTTGGGGATGGAAATTTCAGAATTTTTGGTGGCCTTCCTAAGCCAGGATTCAGACACTGCTAGAACATCAGGGTTGGCGGAGTGTGCTAACGCAGTGAATAACTCAAACTTAGGAAGGAGGCTTCTGATATTTACGTGCAGAAAACCAAGGCTTTTACGGTTACAGAAGTCAACAAATGATAGCTCCTGGGGAGTAGGAGTGATACTGGGGGCTGCAGGGCCTGGGTTAACCTCTACATCACCAGAGGAACAGAGGAGGACTAGAATAAGGATACGACTAAAGGCTTTAAGAACTGGTCTTCTAGTGCGTTGGGTACAGAGAATAAAGGGGGCAGATTTCCGGGCGTTGTAGAAAAGATTCAGGGCATTATGTACAGAAAAGGATATGGAAGGATATGAGTACAATTGAGGTAAACCTAAGCGTTGGGTAACAATGAAAGAGATAGCATCACTGGAGGCACCGATTGAGCCGGTCTCGGCGTGTATGGGGGGTGGAACAAAGGAACTATTTGAGGCAGTTTGAGAGGGACTTGGGGTTCTACAGTGAAATTGTATAATAAGAACTAACCCAAACAGCAATAGGCAAGGCATATTGACATGGGAGAGAGGCATAAAGCAATCACAGGTGTTATTAGAGAGAGCTAAGACAACAACTGGTAATGGCGATAAAGTTTGGGCTGAGGCTAAACAGAATAAACAGGACAGGGTACCGTGTAAAGGAACAGTCCAGCAGGCATCAGCTGTGCAGCTGAGTGATCATAAGGTCCAGTGAACAGCAATATGTGAGTCCGAGAGCGGTTCAAATTGGTGCTACAGCACAGGCTAGCAGGAAGCACAGTTGTAGTTTGCGTGTGCTAGCGGGCCGGGGCTAGCAGATGGATCTTCGTGGTCGACGTCGTAACGGGAAGCCTGTTGAAACCACATCAGACGATTTCGTCGGCAAACCAGTCGTGTTGGATCGGCGGGGCTCAGTGTCAACATTAGGAGCTCCCGTCCGGTTGAAAGAGGTAGATAGCCGGGAGATGGGCCTGGCTCGAGGCTAGCTCAAGGCTAACTGGTGCTGCTAAGGGGCAATGGTAATTAGCCAACAACAGGTTGCAGCTAGGTGGTTGCGATGATCCGGCGCTAGGGTCCAGTGATTCCGGCAGAAAGTCCGATATGCTCTGGGTCGATAGCACGCTGTGCAGACTGGCCGACGAATTGTCCAGGCTAGAGCTAGAGCTAGCTGATGGGTAGTGCCACGGACAATGGTGAAGACGCTAACGGTGGCTAATAGCAAGTAGCCATTCAGTTGAAGCTAGACTAGTTTCAGCTTAAGGTTCTTGATAAAAGTTATAAAGAAATAATAGAATCCTTTCCACGTTGGGTGAGGCGGGTTGCAGGAAAGTATATTTAGTTAAAGAATTAAAAGTAAAATTGAGAAATATATACAAAATAGACAAAAAACAAGAAACTGGCTATTTACACTAGGACACAGAAGAAAAAAAAACAGCGAGCCAGTGGGTGGTTTGAGCAAAAAACTATTTTTTGTTTTTCAATTTTTTGCAATCTAATCGCAATCGACATTGAAATGCCTAAACCCAAATCGAAACAGTGTAGAAATTATAATGAGCCTATACAAAACATTAACACCTGCTCTTTCCATGACTGACTGAACAGGCGAATCCAAGTGACAGTTATGATCCCTTTAGGCCTGACCCCAATTTGTTGACTGGTCGACTGTTTTAGTCGACTGACCGAGATTGTTTTAGTCGAGCAGTAACACACACACACACACACACACACACACACAGTGCATTCGGAAAGTATTCAGGCCCCTTGACTTTTTCCACTTTGTTACATTACAGCCTTATTCTAAAACGGATTCAATTGTTTTTTTCCATCAATCTACACAGAATACCCCATAATGACAAAGCAAAAACAAGGTCTTTAGAAATGTCTGCAAATTTATTAAAAATAACAAACGGAAATATAATTTATATAAGTATTCAGACCCTTTACTGAGTACTTTGTTGAAGCACCTTTAGCAGCGATTACAGCCTCGAGTCTTCTTGGGTATGACGCTACAAGCTTGGCACACCAGTATTTGGGGAGTTTCTCCCATTCTTCTCTGCAGATCCTCTCAAGCTCGGTCAGGTTGGATGGGGAGCGTCGCTGCATAACTATTTTCAGGTCTCTCCAGAGATGTTAGATCGGGTTCAAGTCCGGGCTCTGGCTGGGCCACTCAAGGACATTCATAAACTTGTCCCGAAGCCACTCCTGCGTTGTCTTGGCTGTGTGCTTAGGGTCGATGTCCTGTTGGAAGGTGAACCTTCGTCCCAGTCTGAGCTCCTGAGCAGGTTTTCATCAAGGATCTCGCTGTACTTTGCTCCGTTCATCTTTCCCTCGATCCTGACTAGTCTCCCAGTCCCTGCCGCTGACAAACATTACATTTACATTTACGTCATTTAGCAGACGCTCTAATCCAGAGCGACTTACAAATTGGTGCATTCACCTTATAGCCAGTGGGATAACCACTTTACAATTTTTTTTTTTGGGGGGGGGTGGGGTAAGGGGGGGGGGGGGGGGGGGGTTAGAAGGATTACTTTATCCAATCCCAGGTGTTCCTTAAAGAGGTGGGGTTTCAGATGTATCCGGAAGGTGGTGAGTGACTCCGCTGTCCTGGCGTCGTGAGGGAGCTTGTTCCACCATTGGGGTGCCAGAGCAGCGAACAGTTTTGACTGTGCTGAGCGGGAACTGTGCTTCAGCAGAGGTAGGGGAGCCAGCAGGCCATAGGTGGATGAACGCAATGCCCTCGTTTGGGTGTAGGGACTGATCAGAGCCTGAAGGTACGGAGGTGCCGTTCCCCTCACAGCTCCGTAGGCAAGCACCATGGTCTTGTAGCAGATGCGAGCTTCAACTGGAAGCCAGTGTAGTGTGCGGAGGAGCGGGGTGACGTGAAAGAACTTGGGAAGGTTGAACACCAGACGGGCTGCGGCATTCTGGATGAGTTGTAGGGGTTTAATGGCACAGGCAGGGAGCCCAGCCAACAGCGAGTTGCAGTAATCCAGATGGGAGATGACAAGTGCCTGGATTAGGACCTGTGCCGCTTCCTGTGTAAGGCAGGGTCGTACTCTCCGAATGTTGTAGAGCATGAACCTACAGGATCGGGTCACCGCCTTGATGTTAGCGGAGAACAACAGGGTGTTGTCCAGGGTCACGCCAAGGCTCTTCGCACTCTGGGAGGAGGACACAACGGAGTTGTCAACCGTGATGGCGAGATCATGGAACGGGCAGTCCTTCCCCGGGAGGAAGAGCAGCTCCGTCTTGCCAAGGTTCAGCTTGAGGTGGTGATCCGTCATCCATACTGATATGTCTGCCAGACATGCAGAGATGCGATTCGCCACCTGGTTATCAGAAGGGGTAAAGGAGAAGATTAGTTGTGTGTCATCTGCGTAGCAATGATAGGAGAGGCCATGTGAGAATATGACAGAGCCAAGTGACTTGGTGTATAGCGAGAATAGGAGAGGGCCTAGAACTGAGCCCTGGGGGACACCAGTGGTGAGAGCACGTGGTGCGGAGACAGCTTCTCGCCACGCCACTTGGTAGGAGCGACCGGTCAGGTAGGACGCAATCCAAGAGTGAGCCGCGCCGGAGATGCCCAGCTCGGAGAGGGTGGAGAGGAGGATCTGATGGTTCACAGTATCAATGGCAGCAGACAGGTCTAGAAGGACAAGAGCAGAGGAGAGAGAGTTAGCTTTAGCAATGCGGAGAGCCTCCGTGACACAGAGAAGAGCAGTCTCAGTTGAATGACCAGTCTTGAAACCTGACTGGTTTGGATCAAGAAGGTAATTCTGAGAGAGATAGCAAGAGAGTTGGCTAAAGACGGCACGCTCAATAGTTTTGTAGAGAAAAGAAAGAACCACCATGCTTCACCGTAGGAATGGTGCCAGGATTCCTCCAGACGTGACGCTCAGTTTCTCCAGACGATTGCTCAGTTTGGCGGGGTGGCCAGCTCTAGGAAGAGTCTTGATGGTTCCAAACTTCTTCTATTTAAGAATGATGGAGGCCACTGTGTTCTTGGGGACCTTCAATGCTGCAGAAATGTTTTTGTACCCTTCCCCCGATCTGTTCCGACACAATCCTGTCTCGGAGCTCTACGGACAATTCCTTCGACCTCATGGCTTGGTTTTTGCTCTGACATGCACTGTCAACTGTGGGACCTTTTATATAGACAGGTGTGTGCTGTTCCAAATCATGTCCAATCAATTGAATTTACCACAGGTTGTAGAAACATCTCAAGGATGATCAAAGGAAACAGGATGCACCTGAGCTAAATGTCCAGTCTCATAGCAAAGGGTCTGAAAACTTATGTAAATAAGGTATCTTTTTTATTTTTTATACATTTGCTAAAATTTATAAAAACCTGTTTTCACTTTGTTATTATGGGGTATAGTGTGTAGATTGATGAGGATTTTTTTTTGAATAAGGCTGTAATGTTACAAAATGTGGAAAACGTCAAGGGGTCTGATAGTATTTCTGATTGGCTTAACGCACCACCACTAATGAGCTGTGGCGCTTCTCAAAGTAATGTTTTCTTCACCTAAAACAGCAAGCAAACAAAGTCTGTTTTTACATCCATTGATAATTAATAATTCCTCAATGTATTTGAAAAATCTTTCCAGCTCTCTCCCTTTCGATAACCACTCAGCGTGAAACTGAAAAATGTCATGCTCTGATCCAGTGGAAACATAAAATAGGCTTCTTATCGGTGCTTGACTAGGACTGAAATAGGTTCCGGTACTCATTTTGGGTGATGGTACTGCTTATATTTAGGTGCAGCAGCTCCACAATATTTTTGAGCTATTATTCTATAAAGGAACAGGAGCTTAAGCAGTAGAACATTTGAGGTGCCGGTTCTTAGCTACGGTGAGCTCCTGCCCAAGTTCTTATCCCTTGCGCAAATAGCCTACAGCTGTGTCTGTCCCGAGCTCACTGGAGCAGGAAACTGAGGGCCCAGAATATTTTATACAATGTTGCAAGTTTTCTAGCACAAGCTTTGGGCAGGACCCAAGTTAATAGTTGATAATGTTTCAAGTTCGTTGCAGACTGGCCAATGTGATTTATAGGATTTTCTTAAAAAATTTTACCCCCTTTTTCGTGATTACAATCTTGTCTCATCGTTGCAACTCCCCAACGGGCTCGGGAGAGACGAAGGTTGAGTCATGCGTCCTCCGAAACATGACCCACCAAACCGCGCTTCTTAACACCTGCTCGCTTAACCCGGAAGCCAGCTGCACCAACGTGTCGGAGGAAACACAGTTCAAATGACGACCGAAGTCAGCCTGCAGGCGCCCGGGCCGCCACAAGGAGTCCCTAAAGCGATGAGCCAAGTAAAGCCCCCACAGCCAAACACTCCCCTAACCCGGACGAAGCTGGGCCAATTGTGCGCCGCCCTTTGGGACTCCCGGTCACGGCCGGTAATGAGGATCTGCAAAAGCCAGCAGGAGCGGGAGGAGAATAGTTGGGTCAGGTGAAGTTGTTTTTTTCTTCTGGTTATCTAGATCTCTGGCGCCATCTTAAGGCATCAAACCGTAAGCTTAAAGCATCAAACAAGCTCAACGCATAGTTGATTTTATTAAAACAATGTGTCTATAAATGGAAAAATACACGTCAAATATTTTCCAGCAATCCATTGGTCCAAAAAAGACGACTTTCGGTCCACTAAGATTATTATTATTATTTTTAGTTGGGGACAGCCCTAGATCCCTTAATGATGTCACTTGTTAAATCCACTTCAATCAGTGTAGATGAAGGGGAGGAGACAGGTTAAAGAATGATTTTTAAGCCTTGAGACAATTGAGACATGGATTGTGTATGTGTGCCATTCAGAGGGTGAATGGGCAAGGCAAAATATTTAAGTGCCTTTGAACCGGGTATGGTAGTACAGTAGGTGCCAGGCGCACCGGTTTGTGTCAAGAACTGCAACGCAGCTGGGTTTTTCCACGCTCAACAGTTTCCCGTGTGCATCAAAAATGATCCACCACCAAAAGGACATCCAGCCAACTTGACAACTGTGGGAAGTATTGGAGTCAACATTGGCAGGCATCCCTGTGGAATGCTTCTGACACCTTGTAGAGTCCATGCCCCGACGAATTGATGCTGTTCGTAGGGCAAAGGGGGGGGGGGGGGGGGGGGGTGCAACTCAATATTAGGAAGGTGTTCCTAATGTTTGGTATACTCAAGTGTATTTCACTCTGTCCAGCTTGCCGACAGTCATCGAAACCTAGATAGTCTGGGAGTATTAAATTCCAACAGTGCTGGATAGAGGACCATTTGTAGAAAATGTTGAAGGCGAGGACATAATCAATTTCAAGTGCGGCCCTGCGGACCTCAGTGAAGACCGAATGCGGTCCGCAAGGGCAAAATGAGTTGGACACCCATGGTCTATCCCTTATTCTAATGTGCTTATTATATCCCAGATCATATCCCATTCCCAGTACTGTACCTGATGGCTGTCCTGAGGACTGTCATTCAACGCAACTGAGTTAATGCGGTCCTTCTCTATGAGCACTGACCTGTAAGGAGTTAACACATTCATTAGCACTGGGATATAGTGTCACCAGCACTGGGCCAAACTCTAACCTGATCTGTGTGACACTGACTAACCTGTAGTCGGTGACGTTGCTAAAGCTGTGGAAGTTTGACTTTGTGAGGACTGGATGTGCCATGCACACGAACCTGTGGGAAACAGCATCAGCAACACTTTACTTACAGTCACCAGTAAGACTCAATGGGCATCCTGTAGCCACTAACATTCATAAACAATTATTTAATACATGTTAAATAACAGGAAAAACATTCCCCAGAAACAAATTGTTTTCCACAAATTCCTGAGAGGAAGGAGTGGCCCTGGCCCATAGCCACTAATACAGTTGTGGTCAAAAGTTTTGCGAATGACACAAGTATTGGTCTTCACAAAGTTCACTGCTTCGGTGTTATGAGATATTTTTGTCAGATGTTACTATGGTATACTGAAGTATAATTACAAGCATTCCATAAGTGTCAAAGGCTTTTATTGACAATTACATTAAGTTTATGCAAAGAGTCAATATTTGCAGTGTTGTCCCTTCTTTTTCAAGACCTCTGCAATCCACCCTGGCATGCAGTCAATTAACTTCTGGGTCACATCCTGACTGATGGCAGCCCATTCTTGCATAATCAATGCTTGGAGTTTGTCAGAATTTGTGTGTTTTTGTTTGTCCACCCGCCTCTTGAGGATCGACCACAAGTTCTCAATGGGATTAAGGTCTGGGGAGTTTCCTGGCCATGGACCCAAAATTTTGATGTTTTGTTCCCCGAGCCACTTAGTTATCACTTTTGCCTTATGGCAAGGTGCTCCATCATGCTGGAAAAGGCATTGGTCGTCACCAAACTGTTCTTGGATGGTTGGGAGAAGTTGCTCTCGGAGGATGTGTTGGTACCATTCTTTATTCATGGTTGTGTTCTTAGGCAAGATTGTGAGTGAGCCCACACCCTTGGCTGAGAAGCAACCCCACACAGGAATGGTCTCAGGATGCTTTACTGTTGGCATGACACATGACTGATGGGAGCGCTCACCTTGTCTTCTCCGGACAAGGTGTTTTCCAGATGCCCCAAACAATCGGAAAAGGGATTCATCAGAGAAAATGACTTTACCCCACTGGTGGTCCCCGATCCCGCAGCTGAATCAACTATAGGAGACGGTCCTGGCGATTGCTGGATTTTCTTGGGCGCCCTGACGCCTTCTTCACAACAATTGAACCTCTCTCCTTGAAATTCTTGATGATCCGATAAATGGTTGATTTAGGTGCAATCTTACTAGCAGCAACATCCTTGCCTGTGAAGCCCTTTTTGTGCAAAGAAATGATGACGGCACGTGTTTCCTTGCAGGTAACCATGTTTAACAGAGGAAGAACAATGATTTCAAGCACCACCCTCCTTTTAAAGCTTCCAGTCTGTTATTCTAACTCAATCAGCATGACAGAGTGATCTCCAGCCTTGTCCTCATCAACACTCTCACCTGTGTTAACGAGAGAATCACTGACATGATGGCATCTGGTCCTTTTGTGGCAGGGCTGAAATGCAGTGGAAATGTTTTTGGGGGATTAAATTCATTTTCATGGCAAAGAGGGACTTTGCAATTAATTGCAATTCATCTGATCACTCTTCATGACATTCTGGAGTATATGCAAATTGCCATCATCAAAACTGAGGCAGCAGACTTTGTGAAAATTAGTATTTGTGTCATTCTCAAAACGTTTGACCACGACTGTAGAACAAAATGTACACCAGCTCGCATACTATCAAAATGGCTCCACCCTCTGGACAGGAGGAGGCAGGCAAAAGGCAGAAAGACGATGACACCCTCTTGTGGTGAACTACTAACAACACCGTCTGGTTGAAGCAGACAGGCAGTCTATGAAATGTGACTCAGCCGTTTGGCCAGTGTTCTTGCCTTGCTCTTCAGAGAGGACTGGCTGGTCTTGGCGAAGGACTGGAGCAGGCTGTCAATTAGCTGCTTCTCCTCCTTGCTGGTCTTCCAGGAGCTGCTGGTAGCGTTGGGGGTGTAGGTGCTGTCCTGCAGGTCTTTGTTCAGAGACACCAGCACGTCGTGGATCTGCTGCAAGACACACAACCACACAGCACGGTCAGGGTCACAGCCTGTGTTTCTACTGCTGGACAGCTAAGAAACACTGAATTATTTATGTTTATAGCCAAGCCTGACAGGAATACTATAACTGAACAATTCTCCATGAGCACAACATTCTAGAACCTGCAGTGAAGACAGACGGAAAGCTGGTCTGTGTTTGAGGTACCTTGGACTCAAAGCTCTCCTCGGCCTTGATGGCGTGTCCCACCTGTATCATGATGTCAGCCACGCTGGAGGTGACCATGTCAGTGTTGATCACTAGCTCCACGCGCATGAAGCCGTGCAGGATGGAGAACAGGGAGACTGAACAAGTGGCCGTTCACCAACGTAATAAAGCGGTTGCGGGCGCGGCTGCTCCACTGGTCCCCCAGGATCATGGACTGGGCCAATGGATGCATCCCAGAGATCCAGAACTCCTGGGCCTGAGGAGACAGGACAGAAGACAATTGTAACAGAATACAGGACAAAGTCAAACCAGAATATAGGAATACTAGATCAATTTAGGATGTGGCCCTAAGATATTTAAAACTTTGTAGCTGTACCTGGAATGGGTGGGCCATGATATCAGCAGGTAGCTCCCTCATGCAGCTACACGACACCAGAGTGGTGTTTCCACCTGGACATTCAGAACACACATACTTTACATGGTTCATCCACTGCAACTGTAATCAACCTGTGTCTTTAAGTGTATGAAAGGAGTGATTGTGTATACTAGTGAGCATGTGCTTGTACCTCCACAGAGCTGCCGCGGACATGCAGGATCTTGGCACGGTAGTAGAGGCCCTGCTCGTCGCCCTCAGCGAAAGGTGCCAGGCACAGCAGGTTGGGGTAGAGGGAGACAGGAACTGGACACAGCTCATGAGAATTAATCTCCGCTGTCAGATGGCGCTGCTTCTCCATGCTGGCCTCGCCCGCCTTGAAGCCCCAGAAGTGGTCCACCTCCACCACCTAGGGAGGCAAAATGAAGGAGACATGCTTGGTTACCACCTCCAAAACATACTGTGCATAGCCAAAATGGAGGGTATGTGATCACCTCAATACAGTTATAGATATAATCGTCACCAGATTACTCATTTACACAAAAACAACTCCCAGAAATTCAGCCTGACTAACCTCTGTGATGTTGACCGGGAAGATGGGGTTGGAGGGCAGCTTGTCTGGGTCGATGGTGCTGCTCAGCACCCCCACTGGGTAGACTGAGTTGTTCTGGAAGTCCACATTCACACTGCAAACCACAGGACAGAACAAATTATTCTTAAAAAGCCAGGAGGATCCCTCCAAGAGGGAACACAGTGCTAGTGTAACAGTCAAAGTCACTGAGCTGCATCATTGTATTAGTGAGTCTATGAGACTTACCTAACTCACTCATGACAGCCCTGTCTGTAAATGTATGTGAGAAGGAGGGGGAGGGTCTGACTCTGCCTAAATCTACCCTCTCAGAGGCTGTGTGATGGCTGTAGAGGGTCAACCAGAATGCAAGCACGTCAGGTTACATCAAGGCCCAGTGTGGAGGGGTGCAGCCTGTGGGTGACTGCAGGCCTGCAGGGGTACGGGCAGAGCCCACTCCCCCCAAACCCAGATGGCCACTAACAGGACACCTCCACCCCCCTGAATAGGTAATTGGCCCTGAGCCAGAGCTGGCATTACCTAGACATCAACTGACTGACTGACTGACTTCTACTCCGCTAAATGCATTTCTCTTGAGAAATTGGGGTTAGATGATGTTACACCCATGCAGCAAACTGTATTTTGTAGCAAAGGAGAGGGTTAAAACCCCAGCTGAGTGGATTAGTAGTGTGAGAAGGATGTATAGGCTCCCTACCGAGCGCATCTCATGTGGCAGATGGTCCTGCTCCCCGCACGGGTCTCCACCTCGTCACTGGGGTGCACAAACAGGTCCAGAGGATGCCTCTGGTGGGCCAGGAGGAGGGCCAGTGACACCTCAGGGAGCAGCCCCGACCCTCGGGTAGTCGTCCGGTAGAACTCTACATGCCCTCTGAAGGAACACACAACAAATGTTCAACTGTCTTACCAATGGACTATGGGCATGCTGTAAGCTATGTAAGACCATTTAGGTCAAAACATCTATGAAGTATCTATCTATGAAACATGTAACATGATGAGTTATGGTAAGTCTAGTAGAAGTTTGATCCATTAGTTTGTTACCTGGATCCATCGAAGGCTATGGACTTAACCTGGCCACACTGACGGAACAGGGACTGCAGTTGCTTCTAGTCCAGGAAACTGTAGGGGGGCAGGTTCCAGGCTCTGTCGTAGCCGGCCGCGACCGGGAGACCCATGGGGCGGCGCACAATTGGCCCAGCGTCGTCCAGGGTAGGGGAGGGAATGGCCGGCAGGGATGTAGCTCAGTTTGTAGAGCATGGCGTTTGCAACGCCAGGGTTGTGGGTTCGATTCCCACGGGGGGCCAGTATGAAAAAAAATAAAAAAAATAAAAAAGAAAGAAAGAAAAATATATAATGTAAGTCGCTCTGGATAAGAGCGTCTGCTAAATGACTAAAATGTAAATGTAAAATGTTCCTCACCTGAGACGAGACAGTCAAAGAGCATGGCAGTGGGCTAGCATTCACAACATACAAACACTTCATGAATGTATAGGAATCTGATAAATCAGGGAATCAGGGATAAGGGGTAATGGCATCATACCAGCACTGTATGACAGGTCTTTGGAGGCCAGCTCTTCATCCATTTCCCCTTGGGCAAAGTAGTTGGGGTAGTAGGCAACCACCTGAAAGATGGAATGCCTTCAGAAAGTATTCATACCCCTCGACTTATTCTATACTTTGTTGTGTTACAGCCTGAATTCAAAATTGATTAAAATAGATGTTTTCACCCATCTAAAAACAATAGCCCATCATTTATTTTACATTTTTAAAACGAAATACCTCATTTACATAAGTATTCACACCTGAGTCAATACTTTTTAGAAGCACCTTTGGCGGCGATTATAGCTTTGAGTCGTCTTGAGTATGTTTGTATCAGCTTTGCACATCTGGATTTTGTGATTTTCCCCATTCTTCCTTACAGATTTTCTCAAGCTCTGTTAGGTTAGATGGGGCAATCTTTCCACAGCTTTTCAATGGGATTCAAGTCTGGGCTTCAGCTGGGCCACTCAAGGACTTTCACATTCTTGTTCCGAAGCCATTCCAGCGTTGCTTTGGCTGTATGCTTAGGGTCATTGTCCTGTTGGAACGTAAATCATCGCCCCAGTCTAAGGTTGTTTGCACTCTGAAGCGGGTTCTCATCAACGATTTGCCTGTATTTGGCTCCATTCATTGTTCCCTCTATCCTTACTGCCTGGTTCTCCAGACATAGTGCTTTGCATTCAGGCCAAATAGTTACATATTTGTCTCATCAGACCACAGAATCTTTTGCCTTATGATCTCAGAGTCTTTCATGTGCCGTTTTGCAAACTCCAGGCGTGCTGTCATGTGCCTTTTCTCAGGATTGGCTTCCGTCTGGCCACTCTCTCATAAAGCCCAGATCGGTGAAGTGCTGTAGAGACTGTTGTCCTTCTGTCAGGTTCTCCCATCTCAGCCAAGGAACTCTGTAGTTCTGTCAGTGGTCATTGGGTTCTTGGTCACCTCCCTGACCAAGGTCTTTCTTGACCGGTTGCTCAGTTTGGTCGGACGGCCAGCTCTAGGAAGAGTCTGGGTAGTTCCATATTATTTCATTTCCTAATAATGTAGACCACTGTGCTCTTGGAAACTTTCAACACTCTAGAAGTTTTCTACCCTTCCCCAGATATATTCCTCATCACAATTCTATCTCGGAGATCTACGGACAGTTCCTTGGACTTCATGGTATAGTTTCTGCTCTGACTTGCACTGTCAACTGTGGGACCTTGTATAGACAGGTGTGTTTCTTTCTAAATCATGTCCAAACAATTGAATTGGCCACAGGTGCTTGTCAATCAAGTTGTGACATCTCAAGGATGATGAAAGGAAATTTGATGCACCTGAGCTCAATTTGGAGTGTCATAGCAAAGGGGTGTGAATACTTATGTAAATGAGATATTTCTGTATTTCATTTTCAATAAATTAGCAAACATTTCTAAAAACATGTTTCACTTTGTCATTATGGGTATTGTGTGTAGAAGGACCTTGGTCAGGGAGGTGACCAAGAACCCAACGACCACTGACAGAACTATAGAGTTCCTTGACTGAGATGGGAGAACCTGACAGAAGGACAACAGTCTCTACTGCACTTCACCGATCTGGGCGTTAGTCCCGTGTAGCTCAGTTGGTAGAGCATGGCGCTTGCAACGCCAGGGTTGTGGGTTCGATTCCCACGGGGGACCAGTATGAAAATGTATGCACTCACTAACTGTAAGTCGCTCTGTATAAGAGCGTCTGCTAAATGACTAAAATGTAAATGGCTGAGAAAAAATATGAATTTAATCCATTTTGAATTCAGGCTGTAACAACAAATTGTGGAATAAGTCAAATAGACAGGGGCTACAGTGTTAGCACTGCGGAATGATATTCTGAATAGGAGGGCTAGGTACAACAGGTAATATTATAGTGTCATAATAATAATCATATAGCTATAAGTTGGAAGTAAGCTCCTGAATGCTGGCATGTGCCTCGGTTTCACCTGCTGGATGAACCTCTGCTTGTGGAGGCTGGAGTAGTCCATTGGCGCTGGGTTCTCAATCACGTGCATGTTGAACTGGGACACTCTCTCCTTCAGGTCCTCATAGAGCTCGGCCACCTGGGGGTCACAGAGAGGCAGGGTCAGGTCAGGGATTTGGGTCACCTGGTGTGTGTTTCGTGAGATGCTGGTCTCTATACCTCTCTGATCCTCTTGATCTAGATGCAGTTCTCCTTGCCCCACTCCAGGTTGTCCTGGGAGGAAGAACACACACACACACACCTTACTGCAGACATCTCAGCCGATACTGGACCTTTGTCTAATGTCTTTAGGCACCTCCTTTATTCCATACACTTCTATGTATTATCCATGTTTAAAGTTAATTTATGCAACATAATGATCTAAATACTCTCTCACCTTCGGGTGCCTCAACTCTCCTTTGCTTCTGGACATGTGTCAAGCCTTGAATGCGTTGACAAAAGCAACGGAATCACTCGGCACACCGTGTGCGAACAACAGCTTGCTCCTGAATATTCAAACATTTAAGAGACAAGGATGACAGTCTTACAGCAGACAATAACTCAAATGGCAGTGATAAGGTAGATATTGTAGAAGTGTAATTATATATTTTTTGCTGTATGATAGAACATGTATACATTTTCATGTGCTGACTCACTTGTAGCCTGCCAGCTGCTGTAGGAAGGACACGGCAAAGAAGCTCTTCAGAGACAGGGAGGCGGCTAAGAGAGAGAGACATGTTGAGGAGTTGTTGCCTGAACACACACCTACAGTTACACACCTACAGACAAAGCATAAACCCAAACCCCACTGACCTATGATGAGGCACTCCTCCAGACAGCCAAAGAAGTGGCCGAGCACGATCATTTTCCCCAGGTGCAGGTCCACAGGCAGGTGAGGCAGAATCCGACCCAGGAACGTCAGCTCTCCATCAAAACGCCTCTGGCCCTGCCCATCGTTCCCCACAGACAGTGCACCCATCTACACCACACACGTCATGACAATTATCATTATTTCAAAAATAACTGACTGCAAGAATACTTAGGCATCACACATACAGTCAAACATAATAATACAAAATACAAAAATGTCTGTCCATCAAACCTTCCAACCAAAGAGCCCATCCACAGCACATACACAGACTTCATCAAAAGGCTTTACGCCCCGCTCAGTCACAGCTGACAAACACATACACAAACACCACTGACAGAGCTAATGCTAGCTGACGTAAAGGTCCTGACACAGCAGAACCAACGTTAGGAAACCATTGCAACATCACAAACACACAGTGACAGATTTGGGTGTTCAGCACCATTGTATCTAAGATTCTCATTGGAAACCTCTCCACAAATACAGGAATCCAAAGCCTTCAATGGCTGTTTGTGATAAGGTCCACAGTGAGGAACCTCTTTGAGCTGGAGTATGGTCCTCTCGATGTCATTGAGGTTGGGGGGGTGAGAGGACAGTGGAGAGGAGGGAGCAGGGGTCCCCCATGTCCAGAAGCTTCACCTTCAGCATGATGTTGGCCAGGGGGGCACGCTGGGAACAGTACAAAAAACAACCTAGTCAGAATAAAATAGCAGCTTTATACACTGAGTGCACAAAACATTAGGAACACCTTCCTATATTGAGTTGCACCCCCTTTTGCCCAGAACAGCCTCCATTTGTTGAGGTATGGACTCTCCAAGGTGTCGAAAGCGTTCCACAGGGATGCTGGCCCATGTTGACTCCAATGCTTCCCACAGTTGTGTCAAGTTGGCTGGATGTCCTTTGGGTGGTGGACCATTCTTGATACACATGGGAAACCCAGCAGTGTTGCAGGACCAAGTTTGGGAAACCCTGCTGTACTGTACCTCTACGCTGGTTGCAGTTGGTCTTGGAGGCCCATGTGAGGCGGAGGGACTGGTAACGGGTCTCTTTGTCACAGACCATGTGTCGTGCCAGACAGAAATCAATCACTGTCAACAGGAATACATCACATATTCAAGACATGGAGAGTGAATACAGTATGGCAGTACATATAGCAAGGAAGGTCTGTAAACATTATGAAAATGAAAACACCCACCATATTTGACATCTGGGACTGTAACAGAGCTCTCTGAAATGTTGGTGGAGAGGATGATCTGTGGAGACAGAGACAAAACACTTTGCGTTCTAGAAGTCCTATTCAGTAGACTGGGTTGTGGTGTGATAGTTACCTTCCTGTACCCTGGGACAGGCACCAGAAACACCCCATTCTGCTCCTCCAGAGTGACTGAGGAGTGGAGAGGGTACACCTGCAGTCTGAAACATACACCGTAACAGCACCATCAAGTTTCTACTACGCACCGAACACAGTCTCCCTACCATAGTCACGCTCCAGAGACCACTGAAAGTGCACATGTACACACACAGCACCCACCTCTTGCGCACCAGCTTGGACAAAGCCTCCTGCATGTAGTGGATCTCACCCAGACCAGGGAGGAACACCAGCACACTGCCCCTGTCTGGCAGAGACAGGCCTCCCTCCCTCCCTCGCAGTCCTGCTGCTGAGATACACAAACACACCAGGACAACTAAGTCAATGGTAATTAACAAATAGTGAACGAATGGTTTATTTATCAAGCGAGCTAAGATGAAGAGTACAGCTGTTGACCCCTCACCTCTGATCTTTGGCCTCCAGCTCGTCAAAGCTCTGGATAAGGCTGACAGTCACATTGTACATCTCCACAGTGATGTAAGGGTCGTCTGGACGGCGGGTATCCACCTGATAGTTAATACACAGACACAGTGTTAGGTCAGTCTAAACCATGAGTACCAGCTACATCCACAGACTAGGCTTGGGGCTCCCCCCTCTCACCCTGTAGGGAATCAGGCTATGGAGGTCATCCAGGTAGAACTCCTCGATGGCGTAGGGAGCCCCCTCCACCTAAAACACATAGGCTGGGTTCATCGGCTGCGGATGGGGGTGCCAAAGTACTCTGCAAACTCCCTGCAGTTGATGGTGGCTGACATGAGGATGACCTGCATAAAGGGGGAAGGGAGGCGGTGTGTGTCTGTTCAGTCAGTACGGTTTAGGATCACATGGTGGTGAATGAGATGAGAAGCGTGGGCTCACCTTCATGCTCTGCCATGGTAACAATATATTACTCACGTTCAGCTAGTTTGATGTTACTGGGTACTAAGAGACACAATGTACATCAGATAGGACATCATCATTACCAGTCAAGTCATACAGTGGGGAAAAAAAGTATTTAGTCAGCCACCAATTGTGCAAGTTCTCCCACTTAAAAAGATGAGAGAGGCCTGTAATTTTCATCATAGGTACATGTCAACTATGACAGACAAAATGAGAAAGAAAAATCCAGAAAATCACATTGTAGGATTTTTAATGAATTTATTTGCAAATTATGGTGGAAAATAAGTATTTGGTCAATAACAAAAGTTTCTCAATACTTTGTTATATACCCTTTGTTGGCAATGACACAGGTCAAACATTTTCTGTAAATCTTCACAAGGTTTTCACACACTGTTGCTGGTATTTTGGCCCATTCCTCCATGCAGATCTCCTCTAGAGCAGTGATGTTTTGGGGCTGTCGCTGGGCAACATGGACTTTCAACTCCCTCCAAAGATTTTCTATGGGGTTGAGATCTGGAGACTGGCTAGGCCACTCCAGGACCTTGAAATGCTTCTTTGAAGCCACTCCTTCGTTGCCCGGGCGGTGTGTTTGGGATCATTGTCATGCTGAAAGACCCAGCCATGTTTCATCTTCAATGCCCTTGCTGATGGAAGGAGGTTTTCACTCAAAATCTCACGATACATGGCCCCATTCATTCTTTCCTTTACACGGATCAGTCGTCCTGGTCCCTTTGCAGAAAAACAGCCCCAAAGCATGATGTTTCCACCCCCATGCTTCACAGTAGGTATGATGTTCTTTGGATGCAACTCAGCATTCTTTGTCCTCCAAACAAGACAAGTTGAGTTTTTACCAAAAAAGTTATATTTTGGTTTCATCTGACCATATGACATTCTCCCAATCCTCTTCTGGATCATCCAAATGCACTCTAGCAAACTTCAGACGGGCCTGGACATGTACTGGCTTAAGCAGGGGGACACGTCTGGCACTGCAGGATTTGATTCCCTGGCGGCATAGTGTGTTACTGATGGTAGGCTTTGTTACTTTGGTCCCAGCTCTCTGCAGGTCATTCACTAGGTCCCCCCGTGTGGTTCTGGGATTTTTGCTCACCGTTCTTGTGATCATTTTGACCCCACGGGGTGAGGTCTTGCGTGGAGCCCCAGATCGAGGGAGATTATCAGTGGTCTTGTATGTCTTCCATTTCCTAATAATTGCTCCCACAGTTGATTTCTTCAAACCAAGCTGCTTACCTATTGCAGATTCAGTCTTCCCAGCCTGGTGCAGGTCTACAATTTTGTTTCTGGTGTCCTTTGACAGCTCTTTGGTCTTGGCCACAGTGGAGTTTGGAGTGTGACTGTTTGAGGTTGTGGACAGGTGTCTTTTATGCTGATAACAAGTTCAAACAGGTGCCATTAATACAGGTAACGAGTGGAGGACAGAGGAGCCTCTTAAAGAAGAAGTTACAGGTCTGTGAGAGCCAGAAATCTTGCTTGTTTGTAGGTGACCAAATACTTATTTTCCACCATAATTTGCAAATAAATTCATAAAAAATCCTACAATGTGATTTTCTGGAGAAAAAAAATCTCAATTTGTCTGTCATAGTTGACGTGTACCTATGATGAAAATTACAGGCCTCTCTCATCTTTTTAAGTGGGAGAACTTGCACAATTGGTAGCTGACTAAATACTTTCTTTCCCCACTGTATCTGTAGACTACTTTGAAATGGTGTCGCACATTATACCCAAACATCTGTACTTTTTCGATACTAGAACATGAAAAACGGTTTGGTACTAGAATTGTTGTTACTTACGGTGCTTCAGTCAAATGTGTCTCACGGATCAACTCTGTCTATCAACGCAGCCGATGTCCCCCTTATAGCCCGAGGCGTGCACCGTGCCTGCTCCACTTCCTCATTACTAGTCCCCTGCAGTGGGAGTCTGGGTTTGCCTCATGTTAGCTCCCCTCTCATGCTGTACAGAAGAACACTTTACAATGCAATAAGATACCAGTAGCTTCCAGCTTTGTAGGCTATAGTGCCTTTAGAAAGTATTCACACCCCTTGAATTTATCAACATTTTGTTGTGTTGTAGCCTGAATTTAAAATGAATTACATTTAGATTTTCTTGTCACTGATCTACACACAATACCCCATAATGTCAAAGTGGAAATATGTTTTTACAAATTTTTAGAAATTAATAGAAAATGAAAAGCTGTAATGTCTTGAGTCAATAAGTATTCAACCCCTTTGTTATGGCAAGCCTAAATACAGTGGGGGAAAAAAGTATTTAGTCAGCCACCAATTGTGCAAGTTCTCCCACTTAAAAAGATGAGAGAGGCCTGTAATTTTCATCATAGGTACACGTCAACTATGACAGACAAATTGAGGAAAAAAAATCCAGAAAATCACATTGTAGGATTTTTAATGAATTTATTTGCAAATTATGGTGGAAAATAAGTATTTGGTCACCTACAAACAAGCAAGATTTCTGGCTCTCACAGACCTGTAACTTATTCTTTAAGAGGCTCCTCTGTCCTCCACTCGTTACCTGTATTAATGGCACCTGTTTGAACTTGTTATCAGTATAAAAGACACCTGTCCACAACCTCAAACAGTCACACTCCAAACTCCACTGTGGCCAAGACCAAAGAGCTGTCAAAGGACACCAGAAACAAAATTGTAGACCTGCACCAGGCTGGGAAGACTGAATATGCAATAGGTAAGCAGCTTGGTTTGAATAAATCAACTGTGGGAGCAATTATTAGGAAATGGAAGACATACAAGACCACTGATAATCTCCCTCAATCTGGGGCTCCACGCAAGATCTCACCCCGTGGGGTCAAAATGATCACAAGAACGGTGAGCAAAAATCCCAGAACCACACGGGGGGACCTAGTGAATGACCTGCAGAGAGCTGGGACCAAAGTAACAAAGCCTACCATCAGTAACACACTACGCCGCCAGGGACTCAAATCCTGCAGTGCCAGACATGTCCCCCTGCTTAAGCCAGTACATGTCCAGGCCCGTCTGAAGTTTGCTAGAGTGCATTTGGATGATCCAGAAGAGGATTGGGAGAATGTCATATGGTCAGATGAAACCAAAATATAACTTTTTGGTAAAAACTCAACTCGTCGTGTTTGGAGGACAAAGAATGCTGAGTTGCATCCAAAGAACACCATACCTACTGTGAAGCATGGGGGTGGAAACATCATGCTTTGGGGCTGTTTTTCTGCAAAGGAACCAGGACGACTGATCCGTGTAAAGGAAAGAATGAATGGGGCCATGTATCGTGAGATTTTGAGTGAAAACCTCCTTCCATCAGCAAGGGCATTGAAGATGAAACGTGGCTGGGTCTTTCAGCATGACAATGATCCCAAACACACCGCCCGGGCAACGAAGGAGTGGCTTCGTAAGAAGCATTTCAAGGTCCTGGAGTGGCCTAGCCAGTCTCCAGATCTCAACCCCATAGAAAATCTTTGGAGGGAGTTGAAAGTCTGTGTTGCCCAGCGACAGCCCCAAAACATCACTGCTCTAGAGGAGATCTGCATGGAGGAATGGGCCAAAATACCAGCAACAGTGTGTGAAAACCTTGTGAAGACTTACAGAAAACGTTTGACCTGTGTCATTGCCAACAAAGGGTATATAACAAAGTATTGAGAAACTTTTGTTATTGACCAAATACTTATTTTCCACCATAATTTGCAAATAAATTCATAAAAAATCCTACAATGTGATTTTCTGGATTTTATTTTCTCAGTTTGTCTGTCATAGTTGACGTGTACCTATAATGAAAATTACAGGCCTCTCTCATCTTTTTAAGTGGGAGAACTTGCACAATTGGTGGCTGACTAAATACTTTTTTTCCCCACTGTAAGTTCCGGAGTAGAAATGTGCTTAACAAGTCACATAATAAGTTGCATGGACTCTGTGTGCAATAATAGTGTTTAACATGATTTTTAAATGACTACCCCATCTCTGTACCCCACACATACAATTATCTGCAAGGTCCCTCATTCAAGGAGTGTATTTCAAGCACAGATTCAACCACAAAGACCAGGGAGGTTTTCTAATGCCTCGCAAAGAAGGGCACCTATTGGTAGATGGGTAAAAACAAAAGACCAGACATTGAATATCCCTTTGAGCATGGTGAAGTTATGAATTACACGTTGGATGGCGTATCAATACACCCAGTCACTACAGAGATACAGGCGCCCTTCCTAACTCAGTTGCCGGAGAGGAAGGAAACCGCTCAGGGTTTTCACCATGAGGCCAATGGTGATTTAAAAAAAGTTACAGTGTTTAATGGCTGTGATAAGACATAACTGAGGATGGATCAACAATTGTAGTTACTCCACAATACTTACCTATATGACAGAGTGTAAAGAAGGAAGCCTGTACAGAATACAAATATTCCAAAACATGCATCCTGTTTACAATAAGGCACTAAAGTAATACTGCAAAAAATGTGGAAAATAAATGAACTTTTTGTCCTGAATACAAAGCGTTATGTTTGGGCCAAATCCAACACAACATATCACTCTTCATATTTTCAAGCATGGTGATGGTTGTCATCGGCAAGGACTAGGGAGTTTAAAAAAAAAAAAATTAATAAATGGAATGGAGCTAAGCACAGGCAAAATCCTAGAGGAAAACTTGGTTCAGTCTGCTTTCCAACAGACACTGGGAGACAAATTCATATTTCAGCAGGATAATTACCTAAAACAAGGCCAAATATACATTGGAGTTGCTTACCAAGACAACATTGAAATGTTCCTGAGTGGACTAGTTATAAAAAAAGTTAAATCAATTTTATTCCCACTTTGTAACACAACAAAATATGGAAAAAGTCAAGGGGTGTGAATACTTTCTGAAGGCACTGTAACTTTTATCGCTAGCTTACAGCTGAAGCTAACATCAATTCATTACCCTGGTACTTTGTTTATGATACTACGCAAACCATAAAGCAAAATATGCTGATTTCAAAGCTGATTGCTACCAAAAACGTTATGCATTTACTTAAATCGGTCTCTCCGTCACGTCTCTCCATCAGCCTAAGATGATCTATTGCCTCAGCGTGTGTGAATAGGGCTCTGACGGTTCTATGCAAATGGTGTCGATCAGTAGAATAAAATAAGTCCCAAATAGAAGTGAAACAGATTGTCATCTGTACCCCCATGAAATCAGCCAAAACATGCTTAATAACTCAATACATGAACACATTCCTATTGAATATGCATTCACCTGTATTGTGAATAGGCCTAGGTGACATTTTGATTTACCCAATTTATCAAGAGATTTACCATTCAAATAAATGATTACCATTATGTTGTTAAGTAGTTAGATTGGTAAAAACAAAGTCAAGTTGATTGTACGATTGTTTAATTGATTCATTAATGCATATACAGTGAGGGAAAAAAGTATTTGATCCCCTGCTGATTTTGTACGTTTGCCAACTGACAAAGAAATGATCAGTCTATAATTTTAATGGTAGGTTTATTTGAACAGTGAGAGACAGAATAACAACAAAAAGATCCAGAAAAACGCATGTCAAAAATGTTATAAATTGATTTGCATTTTAATAAGGGAAATAAGTATTTGATCCCTCTGTAAAACATGACTTAGTACTTGGTGGCAAAACCCTTGTTGGCAATCACAGAGGTCAGACGTTTCTTGTAGTTGGCCACCAGGTTTGCACACATCTCAGGAGGGATTTTGTCCCACTCCTCTTTGCAGATCTTCTCCAAGTCATTAAGGTTTCGAGGTTGACGTTTGGCAACTCGAACCTTCAGCTCCCTCCACAGATTTTCTATGGGATTAATGTCTGGAGACTGGCTAGGCCACTACAGGACCTTAATGTGCTTCTTCTTGAGCCACTCCTTTGTTGCATTGGCCGTGTGTTTTGGGTCATTGTCATGCTGGAATACCCATCCACGACCCATTTTCAATGCCCTGGCTGAGGGAGGGAGGTTCTCACCCAAGATTTGACGGTACATGGCCCTGTCCATCGTCCCTTTGATGCGGTGAAGTTGTCCTGTCCCCTTAGCAGAAAAACACCCCCAAAGCATAATGTTTCCACCTCCATGTTTGACGGTGGGGATGGTGTTCTTGGGGTCATAGGCAGCATTCCTCCTCCTCCAAATACGGCGAGTTGAGTTGATGCCAAAGAGCTCGATTTTGGTCTCATCTGACCACAACACTTTCACCCAGTTCTCCTCTGAATCATTCAGATGTTCATTGGCAAACTTCAGACGGGCATGTATATGTGCTTTCTTGAGCAGGGGGACCTTGCGGGCGCTGCAGGATTTCAGTCCTTCACGACGTAGTGTGTTACCAATTGTTTTCTTGGTGACTATGGTCCCAGCTGCCTTGAGATCATTGACAAGATCCTCCCGTGTAGTTCTGGGCTGATTCCTCATCGTTCTCATGATCATTGCAACTCCACGAGGTGAGATCTTGCATGGAGCCCCAGGCCAAGGGAGATTGACAGTTCTTTAGTGTTTCTTCCATTTGCGAATAATCGCACCAACTGTTGTCACCTTCTCACCAAGCTGCTTGGCGATGGTCTTGTAGCCCATTCCAGCCTTGTGTAGGTCTACAATCTTGTCCCTGACATCCTTGGAGAGCTCTTTGGTCTTGGCCATGGTGGAGAGTTTGGAATCTGATTGATTGATTGCTTCTTTGGACAGGTGTCTTTTATACAGGTAACAAACTGAGATTAGGAGCACTCCCTTTAAGAGTGTGCTCCTAATCTCAGCTCGTTACCTGTATAAAAAGACACCTGGGAGCCAGAAATCTTTCTGATTGAGAGGGGGTCAAATACTTATTTCCCTTATTAAAATGCAAATCAATTTATAACATTTTTGACATGTGTTTTTCTGGATTTTTTTGTTGTTATTCTGTCTTTCACTGTTCAAATAAACCTACCATTAAAATTATAGACTGATCATTTCTTTGTCAGTGGGCAAACGTACAAAATCAGCAGGGGATCAAATACTTTTATCCCTCACTGTACATGGCCGTCTCAGAAAATTTTTGACGTAAAATAATTCTAATTAAATGATATTGGACTCAAAAGATGCCCAATGATTGAACAGAGCAGTAGGTTAGTTTCTGTCTGGATCAAGTGCCATTTTGTGACTTTGGCTAATATACCTTCTTTTTTTGGGTATCCTTTTGGTATCATTTTCGTATCGAGTATCGTGATACTAAACCTGGTATCGAAGTCAAAATTACTACTTTGAAATGATGACCAGTCTGAGTCTCAGTTACCTCATCTATGAAGATGTGGGAGTACTCAGTCAGCCTCTTTGCGCTGACCAGTTTCTGCAGCAGCACTCCAGTGGTCATGTAGATGAGTCTTGTGTGTTCAGTCGCCATCTTCTCCAGGCCCACCTGAAACAAACAGAGAAACATATGAGTAGGTGCCCTTACATTTTCACACACAAGCACATAAACACAAAAATACACAGACCATTAGACCTGTCCATGTCAGTCAAGAGGAAAGGTGAAGCCTAAAGGCAGACGTGAGGATTCTAAATCTACTGTAGCTGTAGGTATTTATCTATCTATCTAGCTATGTGATGTCAAACATTCTGTTGAGCAACTCACATCAGCCATCATATCCCAGAGCACAAACTCACCACACAACGTGACTCTCAGAGATCAGACAAATTGCCTATCCTAACATTTCTCCCTGAGGAGTTGCTCTCATGTCCTGCTACTCAAATCCAAGTACAAACTCATGCAAGACTTTCACAAAAACTCTCAGTAAGAAACGAAAGACAGAGATAGAAAGCACTGTAAACATCCATCACACTACCCTTAGGACAGTCAGACAAAGCCAATGCTAAGAGGAATGTATAAAAACAGCCCTCCCTCATGGCAGGAGTGTCATGGGAAGGTCACTGTGAAAGTGGATAATGCTCTGTTACTCTCTATACATCTTCAAGGCCCGGAACCCATCGGTTTCTCCAGCTCTCTACTGGACACATTATACTGGTAGAACAAGAGAAAGAACAGACACTAGAGAACCTACCAATTGGATAATGATCATTATCTGGTAGTAAATAAATTGTATAGCTCCCACCAGGTGCAGAGCATGGGTACTTGGTGTCTATTTTCTTCCTATGTGCAACACAAGGTTTCTCTTACAATTCTGCAATATACTGTGTGCTCCCATCTGTATTTATTCTGACAAGATTTCAAGCCCTTAGGTGTTCATCAGGTCAGCCCATCACTGTCTCACTCCTCACTCAGTGTCTGGCTAACAGTGACATCATCACCGCTCCTGCAAACTGCAGCAGAGCAGACAGAGGAGAGGAGCAGGGAGTTATAATTAGACGGTGTCTGCTGTTTCAGAGCTGGACACAATGCATCTAGACAGCCTGGAAACAGTCCAGCATGGAAGTGTATCCACCACACTCCTCCCTGTGCAACAGAAACTTCAAGTGGGCTTTTTGTACAGAGCTTCATCGAGGGGTAATAATATCGCTGGAGATGCTAGACTCAGTCCACTGCCCCTTGTTATGAAACCTGAACACGCAATTCTGGTTTCTTACACCTTTTTCTCCATCTTCTTTCCACCAAGGGATGTGTGCGCAAATCAGACTTTGTAACACATTACGCATGGTAAAGTATTTTTGGGGGATATAGATATCAAAATGATATCATCAACAAGGTGTGTGTGAGTTGTGAATACTTCACTAACCTGGTATCCTACCAGACCACCCAGGGTGCACTTGCACTCTCTGGCGACCCATCGGGCGATGCTGCTGGCGCCTATTTTGCGAGGCTGGGTGACCACAAGGTTACAGGGGGCATTCTTCTCGCTGTAGTAGTCCAGGATGAACTGGGGCAGCAGGGTAGTCTTCCCACAGCCTGTGGCTCCACGGATGATCACCATTGAGTTGTTTTCGATCAGAGAGATGAGCTGGAAATACACAAACACAGAACTGCACATCAAACACAGCAGAAGGAAAAAGGAATTAACATATTGTAGCCATTTAAAGATTAACACAAAATATGATTCAACAATCTAAATTATAGTATATAATAAAGTATTCTAATCTGTTGTTTATGTTCACAAAGTCACAATAACATTAAAACATTCCGATTTTGCTCTTGTAGGACAATACTTGTGAATCTGAATCTGTAGGAAATGAAAGTCTGAAACACACATCTCTTCACTAATGGACAACTAATGGCCCTACTCCATCACACTCTGTTACTTGTGTGCATGTGAAGACATTCACAGTGGGCTATTTCCCCTCTTGTTGCGCTTATGGCTCCATCAGACAGAATCAGTGCTCATCTGAAGCACACCGTAAAACCTTAAGTGGTGTTATGACCTGAGGAAATGTTGCTGATGACCATCTCTGTTAAAGTCTATGACCTGAAAATGTCCTGACATGGTAGGAGTAACTAAAGCATGCATGTGTGTGTAAGTGTGAATGCGTGCGTGAGGCTACTAAAGTATTTTACCTCCAGTCTATTCTTTGTAATGGGCAAGGTGGGGTACTCATAAGTGGTCAATGGGGGTGGAGGTGCAACTAGAGTTGGAGAGATGAGGTAACACAAAAAGGTTTGCTCAATGACTTTCTGTATTGTTTGGGAAAAAAGGCATCCAATTGGAAGCCAAATTAACTAGAAGATTATATAAATGTGTAACTCACTCGCCAAAAAGTCAGACTTTCCGGTCATGCTCCTCAGTCCCCAGTCTTCACTCTTTGGACTGCCCTGCTGTTGGGGAGCTTTTGCAGGGCTATAAAGAATAAAAAAGTCTGACATTTCAGTGTGAACACACACACACAATCAATTAAGCATCAGAGGTAAAAAAGGTAGGTGAAACATAGCGCCCCCCATAGGACTACTATTAGGCAGCAACAGGCTCTTCACATTCTGCTAATTTTCAAATACACAAACCAAAACCATCTCCAGGGCAACAAACGTGTGAAGAATCCAGTCTGAAAATGCCTTGGCAAAAACATGCATGTTTTGTCTCAGCAAGCACACTAGTAGTGAGTGGTGATAATGTGGCTTTGTCACTGTGAGTAAGTAATGTTATGTGAGTAATGCTAGTGACCCTACGTCAAGTCAAATAGTTCTCCCCCTTACTCTCTTTCTGAATTACCTTCCCCCCTCACATCACCCTTCCTCTCCATTGAAATCCCCCTTTCCCTATTTGCTGTTTCTAACATTCCTCTCTCTCTTACTCGCCCGCCCCTTCATCTCTCCCACTCCTCTCATTCGTGGCTGGGCCAGTCAGGCCTGGGGCAGTGTGGCAGGGACAACAGTCCCAGTCATCTCAGCTTCTCTCTAGGCGAGAGAAGGACTTTATCTACACAGCAGGCAGACACACTGTCAGAGCTGGGAGCAGCTCACACACACATTTATATGCACACGCATTGACTGACTTACACACGCACTTCAGCATCTAACCACAAAGCAGCTGACCTTACATCAAAGCGGCACAAAGGAGAGTGAGTGAAAGGAGAGGAGTCGGCACTGAATCAGAGGAGAACACTGAGTAACTCCGCTGGAAACAGTCCAGAGGACAGGAGAACAGGGACGAGTGAAGAGGACGATTACGCAGTACAGAGAGGAGAGAGAGAGGACCATTTGATTTCTTACAGACGGACAGCAGAGTCCAATAAAAACCAGAGAATGGAGACTTCACAGACAGACCCATGGAGACAGAGTCCTGGAGATGCTACTCTATGAGACGCCTGCGTTGATCTCTCTAGATCACTCTGCCTACATCTGGCTCTCTCCCTCGAGCCTAATCATTGCAGCATTCAACAGTAAGTACCAACCATGCAATAGCTTTTCTTTCCTCTTTTTTTTCTCACAACATGCAATGATCAGAAAGTTCCAACAATAAAATGGCACTCATCTAGACAATAGGCACAAATCAGGAATCACAAGTGCATTATTTGAAGAAATTAGCTAGGACAGGCAGGTTTAATAACAAAACAAATTATTGTTCTTGTGCTTTAAGACGTTGCTGCCAGGTATACAGCACTGCGTGCTCTGTTCACGTAGCATGACCTGTGACCCCAGGCTGTCTAGTCTGTGTGTAGCTCAGGTGTGAGGTACAGAGAGAACCATCAGTCTAAGGAGATTACTACACATCCACACCTGGGCATCTTTACCTGAGTGAGAATGCCACTGAAGGCAAATCAAACACTGATGACAGAGAGTCAGGGACCAGAGATCAGCTTGTGTGGAGGTGATCCATTTCTCATTTTCCACCATGTCAAGTCTTCAATGAGTGCAGACCAGTCAATAGTACAATTGCAATCCTTTCAACTGTTCTGTTAGAAACAGACTTCAGGATAACTGGGGGGTATTCCTTGACACTCGTGGCAGCAGTGTCAATACTTTTGCTTCAGATGTAAAATACTTTTTTTATCTTCTCACTGCAGTAACCACAGCACTCCTCCGCCATGCCCCTGTTCAGCTGGATGAAATGGTCGCGTGCTGAACGACAACAGGCGAAGGATGAGAGGGCGTCTGGCAAGTCCACAGGGGTATCACCCAGCTGCACACTGATCAGGGAGCTGCTGTGGCACGTGGAGGAGAGGGAGTGCATGGCACGGGAGGTGGAGCAGGAACACAGGCTGGCCCACAACACCGTGGGATACCCCCACTGGCTCCAGAGCTACCCCAGGTTACGCACGCTGATCCCTGCATCAGAGCGCCGCCAGCTGGAGCACTTGTGTGCCCAGATCCAGCCTATGCACACCGCTACGGTGCTCTCCAGGTACACCACTCTTCATACAGTACCCTCTTCATATTAGCACAATGTGTCCGAAATAGCCACTGCCCCCACACCAGGATGACAATAGGCAAAGGAGACAAGAGTCTCAAAGAGAGTGGGGTAGGGCAAAGCTGCCAGGGAAGCCACTTTGTGTTATTGTCACAGAAGTAGGTTACATGGGGTGTGATCATGCAAAGGTGAAGGGGACCCTATGGGGCTGAGCACAGCAAAAACAACCCCCAGGGAAAGAGCTTTCCATTAGCAGTATCATATCCCTGTTAAAATAAAAACACATCCCACCACGTTTTACAGTGATGGTGACATTTGTATGAACAGACTGAATTTGGCATTTCTGAGGGGCTAATTGAGGAATCATGACCCTTGTAATCGTACTTTAAATAACCTTTAAATCCACCACTGGTCTAGCAAAAATTAATGTAAATTATACTTCACAAAAATGTAAATGCAACATGCAACAATTTCAAAGATTTCACTGATGTACAGTTCATTTAAGGAAATCAGTCAACTGAAATAAATAAATTAGGCCCTAATCTATGGATTTCCCAGATAACTATTTTTTTTTAAGGTAGGGGTGTGGATCTGAAAACCAGTCAGTATCTGGTGTGACCACCAATTGCCTCAATTGCCTTTTTTTTTTTAAGGTAGGGGTGTGGATCTGAAAACCAGTCAGTATCTGGTGTGACCACCAATTGCCTCATGCGGCGCGACATCTCCATCGCATAGAGTTGATCAGGCTGATGATTGTGGCCTGTGGAATGTTGTCCCACTCCTCTTCAATGGCTGTGCGAAGTTGCTGGATATTGGTGGGAACTGGAACACGCTGTCGTACACGTCAATCCAGAGCATCCCAAACATGCTCAATGGGTGACATGTCTGCTGAGTATGCAGACCATGGAAGAACTAGGACATTTTCAGCTTCCAGGAATTGTGTACAGATCATTGTGACATGGGGTCTGTGCATTATCATGCTGAAACATGAGGTGATGGTGGCGGATGAATAGCACGACAATGGGCCTCAGGATCTCGTCTGTGCATTCAAATTGCCATCGATAAAATGCAATTGTGTTTGTTGTCCGTAGCTTATGCCTGCCCATACCATAACCCCACCGCCACCATGGGGCGCTCTGTTCACAACGTTAACATCAGCAAACCGCTCGCCCACACGATGCCATACACGTGGTCTGCGGTTGTGAGGCCGGATGGATGTACTGCCAAATACTCTAAAACGGCGTTGGAGGCGGCTTATGGTAGAGACATCCCTGCAGTCAGCATGCCAATTGCACGCTCCCTCAAAACTGGAGACATCTGTGGCATTGTGTTGTGTGACAAAACTTCACATTTTAAAGTGTCCTATTTATTTTGTCTTCTTTGCAAAATGTCCTCCTGACAACCAGAGATTGGAGAGGGCGCATAAATACGACCTCAGCCTTGTCACCTCACACAATACATGATACTTTGATGAAATAGCGTACATCAGTTTCAGCATAATTTTGTCAGCTAGGCCTAATGGATAATTGAAAGCCCAAACAGCTTCATTATTGTGGATAATGCAGTTTGGGTTAAATAGTTTATTAACCCACTATAACCCTCTATCTCATTCGCAGGTTCCGTGATGTGCTGGCCAGCAACAACATCCTGCCCTGGGAGCTGGTGTATGTCTTCAAGCAGGTGCTGAGAGACTTCCTCAACAAAGAGGAAGGGGAGGAAGAGGAGGATAACATGCCGCAGCCAGAACTGCTTGGGCCAATGGAGGCCTGGACCAACCGATACCAAATGAAGCAGGGCTTTGTCACACCTACTGTGCCCAACTGTGGTGAGCCCCAGAGAGAGGAGATCCCAACCATCTCTGGCTACGTGGACCGTACCATGAGAGGCTCTTATCCTTTCACTGCCCATAGGGTCTGGGACCTTCCCTACTACTACCCAGTGCCACATAACTCTACAGAGGCTTACAGCACCCCACTGTGAGAGCTGGTGGGGTGGTAAAGTAGTACCCAACTCATGACCTTACCGGCTGCTATCCTTGTTAGGTCATGAGTGAAAGAGTTGTCATCTAAAAAATATGTTACAGATTCATTTTAATTAGGACTGCAACAAAATCTTGCCCTGGACCGGCACTTGCTTGAGGGCAGATTCAGACATGCAACAATGGATACTGCTAGCTACCTGGACTAGGGGTGCATCTCAATAGACTACTCAGTTACTCTAACTACTACTGTAACTTAGCTAGCTACTTCATTTGCACTGATTTGATAAGTCAACCCGTACCTAGGAATTTTGGCACCTGGCTAGTTAGCTATTTTACTGTGTTAGTATTACTATTGTAGCTAAATAATGCTATTTTAATTGGCTAGCTAATATTTACTGAAAATTATGTAGCTAGCTATGTACCTAACTAAAAGGTTTAAAGCAAAGTTCCTTTCATGTTAGCTAGCCAGCCAACAAATGTGAACATGTGTGACAGTTTCTAGGTTTCCATCCAATTGGCAACAGATTTTCATGCCATTATTCTAAAAACCGCATAAAAACAATGAGCATTTTCCCAACAGAGATGTTTCCATCAAATGGCGTTGTTGCAGCTAAAAGCCTGTGCGTAATGACTTAGTGCACATACAAATACATTGTGGTGCAATTCCCATGTACAAGTTAAATGTGTTTCCATCGCATTTTCAACTCTACTGATGGTTCTCACAAAAATTGTTGGGTTATATAGCTAGTGTGCCCACTCTGGTATTGGCACGTGTGCTCTAGCCAACAGCGCGCAGATAAAGTACTAGAGCGCACATATAGCCTACATTATGACATTAATTAAGAGCGAGATTATTTGTATATGTCAAACGGCAGCCAAGCATCGATGATCATGTCAGCTGAATAAGACCCTCGATATTTATTGAAAGGTGCATTAAGCGCATCACCCTGTGAAATTCAATTTATTTAATCTGTAGCCTAATAAACTGCATGCTTTCCCGAGGAGTCATCGATATGGTTATTTTATCAATGTCGAGATTTGAGAAGTTTCCCGAAAAAAAAAATATTTCCATCAGGCCTGTCATTACATTTTTTTAGCCTACGTACTTTAATCGCATAAAATGGTTGGAGGGAAACCTGGTTAGTGCAGGCAGACTGTACCGTCTTTGGTGCAAGGGAACATGTGCAAGCTAGCTAACGTTAGCTAGCAATGCCATCTACATTTTTCTAGCTAGCTAACTAGCTAGCTAACCAACTGAACTCACCTCTGTATAGGCGATATGCACAGGCGAGCATGACGTATTTCCGGTTAAATCTCAGGATGGATATAAACTTCCGGTTATCGTAGAATGCTGTGCTACCGTATGCTAGCATTGAATGCTTGTCGTCAAAAACATCCGAAACTGTTAATTTTCGTCGTTGTTGTTGTTTATCTTAATGTTTATGTTAATGTTTTTCCGTGTAATACTTCGTCTTGACTTATAACACGATGACGTGTAAACGTACGAAAGTACAGGAGGGACGACAGACATGCCACATTCAGAGTAATGGGCAGTCTGATATAGTAATGCAACCAAATTATTGCATATCCCACACCCAGCCACACAGGAACAGTAGCTTTTAACAAGCACAACTGGCTGTGAATCACGCAATGTCATCCGAAATACACAGAAGCATAATTTAATGGGTTTTGAAAGATGAGGGTCTACAGCAGCAGGAGCAAAACTTGTTCTTTCTACTTTTTACTGGTGTAAGCAACTTATCTACTGTCTCGTGTCACTTTTGTGCTTTCTGCATAACTTTCCTACTGTCTTGTACCACTTGGCTATACTGTCTCCCACCACTTACCTATTGTCTTGTGCCATTTACCTACCTTCAAACAGTATTGGCAGAGCAGTAGGTGAGTGGTGCAACATTGTAGCCTAGTACCAATAACAACAGTAGAGTGAAGGTTTAGCTCCTAATTCCTCTTGAAAAGTAGAAACATCAAGTACAAAAGCAAGGAAGTTGGGCCATATGTTTATAAAAAAAGAAGTAAAGATGACAGGACAGTTTTGAGTAGAACATCAGCAGTTTGAAGAATAGCTGAGTGGAATATGTTACTGTCATTGCAGTCATCAAGTCAGGAAAAAGTAGTAATCTCACTATTGTTTACATTTCAAACCAAACTCCAATTTGTTTACAACAGACCCAACAACAAAGCATGGCAATTCCCACTCAGCTACCCTGGTCTGTATTAGGCTACCACTGTTCAGCTATCGTGAAAACCACTAAAGTTCTAAAGTGTTCTCTTAGCAATGGCAATCAAAGCTGTGGTAACATTAAACGAGTAAAACATGTGTTGAACGGAACCTTGAACAAATTCAACAGAACTTTGAACGTGTCACTTAATCTAGTCCTACTCTCAGCTGGTGTGGTGGCTTTAGTTTCTTCATTGAGCGGTAGCAGTGGGCTCTTACAGAGATCTCATTTGTAGCCCTGTTTTTACCTGATACTTTCATAAAAGTACAAACACATGAAGTGAGAGGTATATACACATGATTAAACTTTATTTAAAGCATGATTAACCTGAAGCAGGACGGAGTCAAGACTTAAAACACCAAAGCAAGGCTTCTAGCTCAGGCTAGCTAGCGTTAGCATATTACCTTCAAAGTTGCAAAGAATAGAAGAAACGTAAAATTTGAAGCCTTTATCCAGTTTGCTACGTGGTGTCGTACTGGATGTCCGGACGACCCTCCATATATCATTAACAGATACTTTAGGCAACTCCAGCAAACACCTTGTCAACTTAATCTCTGCCATCATAATGGTCTACTATCACTGTCTAATGTTTTTTTTCTCCGGTAACCGGAAATGCCCAAGCATCCTTACGCCAATGCGGAAGTGATGCGTGCATAGAGCCCATTGATGACTCGTCTGACTTCACTTTGTTTGGAACTTCATCCGTGATTAGAATGTTAGCAAACTGGGTCCCTAATGTAAACCATTCTGTTATCTGTGCTGCAGTTATTGCTTTCTTCATGTTTCATATGTTGTTGACTGCTGATCTGTTTTCAAGGGTGGATGATGCTGTAGAATTCTCAATTAGTTAGTCATTGGTTCAAAGACACGTGACGTGACAGTAGTACACCTACTGGGTCTGAATCAAACATCCTATCTGGTAGCTAGAGGGACTGTCCTTTTGTACTCCTAATGCAAACAAACAAGAAACTAAAATAATAACTTCACTTATTCGATTATATAATTAACATAAAACATGTTACAAAGACTTCATTAGAATAAAGAAGAGAGTAGACAGAGCCACCATACAAAAGCAGTAGACCCAGTAACAGGGAACATTCTCCACCCAACCTTTTCTAAGGACTTAGACGATAAAGGTGAGATTGAATATTAACAGTAAAATTAAAATCAAATTTGATTGGTCACACAACTATACAAATAGACAAGATACAGATGTTAGCAAAAACATACAAAGTCAATTTACAGTTCTAAAATATATTTCATCCAGCATTACAGTTGTTCAATCATGTTACAATCTACCCTAAATATGGCATCTGTGATTGATAGCCACTGTGGTAAATACTAGGGCTGGGCGATATATGGACCACCAAAATTCTTATAAAAATAAAATATGAAGGATGATGATATAACCATAATTATTAACTGGATGGTTTGAGCCCTGAATGCTGATTGGCTGAAAGCTGTGGTATATCAGACCATATACCACAGGTATGACAAAACATGTATTTTTACTCAATTATGTTGGCAACCAATTTATAATAGCAATAAGGCACCTCAGGGGTTTAGTTGTGGTATATTGGCCATATACCACACCCCCTCGGGCCTTATTGCTTAAATGAACATCTGATATGAAGACGCAGCTGAGCCTGTGGCACAGCCTCCCTTTGAATGTGACCCAGGGAGGCTACAGTTGCTGCAGAGAGATAGTGGAAATATCATGGGATACTAAGGTCCAATGGTATGCATACCGCAATTATACATATCATAATAACAATATACACAATGGATTGCCCAGCCCTAGTAGAAATAAAAGTATATTCATACAGAAATATGAAAGAATGTGAAGACATTTTTCTTAGAGAATATCACAGTATTTGAAACAGGTAATTTACTGTACTGACCAGTTTATCCTACTATGTGATACAATAACACAGTTATCAGTCAACTTTAAAGGGTGAAAATACTGTTTGGTGGACATGTTTACAGTCAACAAGAAATGTTGAGCAGCCAATGAGAATATCTCCAAGCTTTTTCTCAGATACTCATTTCAGATCTGAGTTTTTTTATTTTCCTTAAAAAATATATATATATTTTTTTGTTTGTTTGTTACTTATAGTCTATAAATCCAGTGAAATGCCTCCTCAGTATTTCACTGCTGAGGCCAAGTCTCTTGATGGTAACTATAACACTTACAAAAAGTAAACACATGTAGCCAGTTGATGAAATGTTAAAAATGATTACCACCACTTGAGGTTTGGTGTTTTCCTTTTTGAGCTTGACCAGGTACTCAATCCTCTGCTTATGGTTCTTATGGCCCACAAGCTTGCTGTTCTCCTCAGACAGGTGGTCAACCTACTTCCGAAGAACTTCCTGTAGGGGACAGGTTTGCCGACATTGACATTTTCCCCTCCTTCATTCTCACTAAAATCATCACCATACATTAGCTAGATTCACTACAAAGGGCCCCTCTTAAAACAAATCATGGACTAAGACAGCGCCTGATATCATTGCCATGTCTGAAGGAGCATGGAGATTGATGCCTCCCATAAAATGATCCAGCCTGTCAACTAGATCAAGTTGCCATTTTCTGCACTCCATATGATAATTTAATTTATTAAAAACTACATACAATTACCTCAGCAGATCCTGATGCCCTTCTCACCTGAAGCAGTCACTCCTGTTCTGGTCCGTCTGGCTCAGCTCCAGGCAGCGGTTCCTCAGCTTGTTAGTCAGCTCCTGGACACTGGTCTGATACTGGGCCAACAGGGATTCCTGACTCGCCAGTCTAATCAACACAACAAAAGAAAACACACAAAAACAGATGTATAACTTTCAAAAAATGCATATAAGAGAAAGTGTATTTGCATACACACTACACATGTATATTCCACATAGAATCTGTGTGATGAGAGAACAAAGTATGTACCTTTCCTGAGCCACAGTGAGCCTCTGTATGACTATTCTCTGCAAATGAAAGGAATGAAGAAATATGAAAAACCACCTATTACAAACAATGGTATTTTCAATTTATTAAAACTACATTTTCAGGTGAACAGGGGAGTTGAGTGATTGATACACATACCATTGCACTCCTCTCCTCTTGCAGCTCTCTCAAGACGTTCTGATGAATGGCCTCATTCAAAACATCCCTGTCAATTAAAATATATACGTCAGACACTTGACCAATCAACAGTCTGATAACACTTGGGTTGCAAAAATCCATCTGTAAAAATAAGAGATTTGAATGGACTAACCCATTTGTGTTTCCATTCTGAGCCAGTTGGTTCTGCTTGGTGTAGAACTGGTCAAGAAGAGCTTCGATCTCCATTCACACTATTTCCTTCTCATTCAGCTGACCCTGTGGGAAATCAACACAGACTAGTTAAACACCATATGTGTTACATCAATGTGTTAAATCAGTGTCTCAAGATTGGATGTTTAGCACTCATCATGACATGCAGTAAAACAAACAAACCACACCTTGAGCCTCTGGATCTCCTCGTTCTTGGCGGCCCTTTCATAGTTAAGCTCAGTGAGGAGCACCTCCATAGTAATCATGGAGGAGCGTCGGCTCTCCAGCTCCTTCTCCTGGCTCTCCACCAGGGTCAGGTCAGGGTTGAAGCTTCAGGGGGTGTGAGGTGTCTGACAGAAAAATCAAGCAGATAAGTTATTAAACCCTCTTGATCAGACAGAGTTCCCTGGTAATGCATACAGGAGGGAAAACCATCAGATACAAGCATCCGTTACCTGTGGCAGCACTTTAGGGATGACGGATGACTGTGGAACATGATTGGCACTCTCACCTCTGACAGTCCTCTCAATCGCCTCTTGCAGGTTTTTTAACTAGTGAAAAGCAGGTAGGGAAATCACATGAGTAAAGTAGAGATAATTGTACAATCTATTTTGTTTGATCTCAAATGTAACATTTTCCATGCTACTGTAGCCCTTGATTTGTTTTCAGTGGCTCTTTGTATGTGTATATAAATAATGGGCTGGTACCTTCCCCTGGAGAGTTTGGATGGTAGCCTCCTTCCGGGCAGTCTGATCCTGTGAAGCTTGGAGAAGACCTGCCTGCTCATCTAACACCTTGGTGAGTCGCTCCACCTCCTCAGTGGCATAGACCAACTCCTCCTGTAACACCTCCACCTGAGGACAAAACATCCATCCAGACATTGTCATAATGGTGGAATTCAGGCATGTGTCATTGCATCGAAGCTCAAGATGCCGCTAGTCGTTATGTTTAAAATAAACTCCAAGTCTTAACTCTCTGATTAGAAGCTACCTTCCTTTCTGCTGCTTCTCTCAGGTCCTGGAGCTCTGCTTGCATCCTGGAGTTGTGTTCCTTGATCTCCTCTCTCTCGGAGCAAGCAGCATTGTACATATCCTGAAGGAACAAACCAGGTAAAAAATAAATATATAGGTAAACTACAGTAAACATTTTGAAGTATACAAGTTAAACATTATAATTAATTAAGAGGTACACAAATGACTTGAGTCAATACCGTGAGGTCCTTGACATCTCCAGACAGCATGGCGAGGCCCTGGTCCTTCTGGTCCAGCTTACTGCAGAGGTCCCTGGTCTGGTTGATCAGCTCCAGGACAAACTCCTGTCAAACACCACAAAACAAGAGATGAGACTTCTGCGATAAGATGTATCAAATACATACTAACTGAATTATAACCCCAAATAATAGTAATTAATGGCAGGTCATTTAAGTGAGCAGACTTACTTTGTCTTGTTCAATCTTTTGCTCAAGGCTGGATATAGTCCCATTGGCAGTTGTCAGATTTGGTTCAAGGCTTGCCATATTAGAAGTCTTTCAAAGTAAATACAAACGGAGACCGGGTCAATTACAGTTGATTGGAGATTAAGACCCAATTATGTCAAATAGTGTTCAACTGTATTCAACTAAACTAAAACATACTGGTGATAACAATTTCTAAGAAATATAAATCTGACTAAAACACAACACTACATTAACAACTATGTACACACTAAACACTAACAATGAATGAATAAAATACCTGTTTTTGGTTTTGTGTAGTCAGGTCAGACACTTGCTTCCTTAGCAATACATTCTGCTCCATATTCTGAACAAGCACTCAGGGGATAAACAAATCTAATGCTGTATGTCAACAAAACATTTAAAATACACATCATAAAGGTCTGATCGTCCACAAATAGAAAATAAGCCTTTATACAACTCACTCTAAAGTGCTCTCTTCATCCTCTCTCAACTGGGAGGTCAGATTTCTCGTGTGTTCTTTCAGACTGAAGAGCTTTCGTCAATTCAACCAACATATTCATCAAGAAAAAGTAATCACACTCAATCCTCCATAGAGGTTAAACTGTAATTTCATACAAATGAGACAGGCAGGCTCTGAATGTCCTTAACAGAGAAGCAGGGCTTGGTTGGTTTAAATAGGAGCTGACTGACAGTGATTTGGGCCTGCTGAGCTGTGACGTCCTGCTGCTTGTCTTCTAGCTGCTGCCTGGACTGGTCTGCCTCAAACTTGGCCTTGGCCTGGAGCTGGTCAAAGGCATCCTGCAGGGACCGCTGCTGCGCTAGGAGCTGCTCCCACTCCTGCCTAAAGGAAAGTGAGAGATGGGGGTAGATGGAGAGTCTGCAAACTACTATGGTGAAAGTACAATGGTGACATTGAGTTCCCATTGTTGTCTATCAAATAGAGTTTAAATCTGACAGACACACACACACAAACATCCTTGATTCAAAAACAACAAGACAGCTGTAGCCATGCATGCATACTGGACTTCTTGGAGCTGTGGCAGAGTGCTGATCAGGCTGCTGGAGAGGTGTGATGTCTCCTTCTGCTGCTCACTCTGGCCCTCACACAGCTCCTTCTTCACAGCAGCCATTTCCCTATCAGAGGACTGCAGCAACAGGCGCAGGTCATGCAACTCACTCTTTAGAATTACAAGAGAGAAAATTGATTTGTTTCGATAACCATAGAATACCTATAGAATCCCAGAAAAAAGACAAATCCTCCTGTCCTCTTTGATTCAAGTACTGGTAAATTATCACATGGTTAACACAACTGATTTTCCAGTTCTGCCCATAATGGATGCATACAGCCTCAGACTGCTATCGCTAGAGAACTCTGGGTAAAATTAGTGAAGTGTGTGATTGGTTGTCTTACCGTTCCTGGTCCTTCTCTCTGCCTGTAGGGACTGCTCAAAGTTTCTGATGGTCTCCTGCAGGCTCAGCTGTTCCAGCCACGTCGCTCAGTATAGAGCAGCTGCACATACAAACACAGAAATACAGTTAATTACTGTAGCTTCATATAGTCATTAACTGTAAACTGGACTCCTCCAACATCCTAGTCACCTGCTCTTCCAGCTTGGCAAACTGCTGCAACAGCTTCCTGCTCTTCAGCTCCTGCTGGTCCAGCTGAGTCTGCACCTGACTGGCTTGCTCCTACCAAGCAGAAGGGAAATAATAGATGAATAGATTCCACCAAGAGAATGAGAAGTATAACGTTACGTTAGACATCTGTTTTATAAGTGATAAAGCCTGGGTGCTGTACCTGCACCTGTTGCAGCTCCTCAGTCAGAGCCTCACAGGCCATCTCAGTCATCTCTGGTGGACGCTGCTCAGTCTGGATGTCGTTCACGTCCTCGTCTCCTCTCCTGTTCCCATTCAGGTAGTTGGGGCTGGAGAGAGGCAACAGACGGGTCCGCAAGTTGTAGGGCTTGGTGGGGGTGGTGAGAATCTGGGGGACAAAACAGTCATTAATAGGCCATCTTCTTAGAATTATACCAAGGTTGAGCAAACTCATGGACCCAGAGGTACCCCAACCTGTTACCCTCTACACTGGTTCAGGCATTGAGCCATCGGTGAGCCGCTAAATAATGCAACTTCCCTCACCTTGATAGTTTCATCATGGATCTTGTTCAGCTAAGAAACCTCCTGTTTCTTGTGAGCCTTTGCGGCCTTCAGAATGTTCTCCAGATGCTTGTTGGAACTTATCCAGGTACCTCTTTTCTGATTCCAACTCTGACATATGTTTCCTGGAACGTAAGTAACAATCCTTAAACCTCTGAAGCACAATTTGGACCTATAACAAAGGCATAGCTCCAATAAACTTCAAGAGAAAATTTAATTATCATGCAATAATTTGTATTTTCTCCATGAACTCGAGGGGCTCATACTGAAGATCATGACAGCATGCACGTATCTAGAGCGTCTCCTTACTTGGTGAGCTCCTTATACTCCTGGAAAGCTTGGATGGTGGCAATGAGTTCTGTATGTGTTTGGAGAAACTGGGCCACCTGCCTCTCCATGGAGATGGCAGAGATGTCCTCAATAGTTACCGAAGTCGAGCAGGACAGCTGAGCTGTGGAGAAATGTCAAATTCCCTATACTAGCAAAATGTATAGCGCATAGAATAAAAAAGGTATTGTCGGACATTATTCATTCTAATCAGACAGGTTTTTTACATGGACGATACATTGGAGTTAATATAAGGCAAGTACTGGAAACAATAGAACACTATGAAAAATCTGGGAAACCAGGCCTGCTATTCATAGCTGACTTTGAAAAGGCATTTGATAAAGTACGACTGGAGTTTATATATAAATGCCTGGAACATTTCATTTTGGAGAATATCTTATAAAATGGGATAAAATCATGTATAGTAACCCTAGGTGTAAAATAGTAAATAATGGCTACTTCTCAGAAAGTTTTAAACTGTCAAGAGGAGTAAAACAAGGTTGTCTACTATCGGCATATCTAGTGTTTCTCTAAGCGGGAGGTAAGCTTGGCTTCTTCTTTATATGGTGATGAGTAAAGCTTAAACCATGTATTTAGATTGTAGGTAGGTATTGTAGTTAGGTATTGTAGGTAGTTTATCTAGGTAGTTATTGTAGGTAATTATTGTAGGTAAGTATTGTTTTCGGCTGAGCCCATTGAAGCACGAGGCTAGCTAACCCACTACCTGGACCAATAAAGCTAGCTAGCTAGCGGGTAGCTACTGGTAACTATTAGCAACTGTGGATAGTCGTTTCCTATGTTATTTCACGCTTAAGAGTACCTGTAATTATGCCAGCTAGCTACCTACCATTCAGCTGTTTTTCTAACCTCATTATCTGAAGCGTTAACGTTAGGTAGTTAGTAGTGTCATGATCGTCGTAGGGAATAGACCAAGGCGCAGTGTGATGAACGAACATGTTTATTTATCTTTAGTGATAAATACTGAGAATAAACAAAACAACAAACGACTAGTGAAGTCCACGGTACAAAACACAAAACCAACTGGAACAAGAACCCACAAACACAAAGGGAAAAACAGACAGTTTAAATATGGCTCCCAATCAGAGACAACCAGCCAACAGCTGACACTCGTTGCCTCTGATTGGGAGTCACTCAGGCCAACATAGAAACAGAACAACTAGAACCCCCAACATAGAAATATAACACATAGAATGAACACACCCTGGCTCAACATATAGAGTCCCAGAGCCAGGGTGTGACAGTACCCCCCCCTAAAGGCGCGGACTGCGACCGCGCCTCAACTAGAGCAAACAGGGGAGGGCTGGGTGGGCATTCCTCCTCAGCGGCGGTTCTGGCTCCGGGCTTGCCCACCACCCATCAATAATCCCCCCATAGCGCCCCTGGTCCGGTCTGGCCCCGCTGGCTGGAGCTGAACTGGACGTAGCAGGAGCGGTTAGCTTCAGCTCCGTTGTGGAGCAGTTGAGCGGTACCTGATTAGGCACCGATGACCCAGGCACTGGTTGTGCCGGACTGACGACGCGCACCCCTGGCTTGGTGCGTAGAGCCGGAACGGTCCTCACCGGACTGACGACTCGCACCCCTGGCTTGGTGCGTGGAGCAGGAACGGACCGGACCGGGCTGACGATGCGCACCCCTGGCTTGGTGCGTGGAGCCGGAACGGGCCTCACTGGACTGGCGACTCGCACCCCTGGCTTGGTGCGTGGAGCAGCAACGGGCCGGACCGGGCTGACGATGCGCACCCCTGGCTTGGTGCGTGGAGCCGGAACGGGCTTTACCGGGCTGACGACTCGCACCCCTGGCTTGGTGCGTGGAGCAGCAACGGGCTTTACCAGGATGACGACTCGCACCCCTGGCTTGGTGCGTGGAGCAGCAACGGGCTTTACCAGGCTGACGACTCGTACCCCTGGCTTGGTGCGAGTGGCAGGAACAGGCTGGACCAGGCTGACGACTCGCACCCCTGGCTTGGTGCGAGTGGCAGGAACAGGCCGGGCCGGGCTGGCGACGCGCACCGTAGGCTTGGTGCGAGTGGCAGGAACAGGCCGGGCCGGGCTGGCGACGCACATCGTAGGTTTGGTGCGAGGAGCAGGAACAGGCCGGGCCGGGCTGGCGACGCGCACCGTAGGCTTGGTGCGAGTGGCAGGAACAGGCCGGACCGGGCTGGCGACGCGCACCGTAGATTTGGTGCGAGTGGCAGGAACAGGCCGAGCCGGGCTGGCGACGCACACCGTAGACTTGGTGCGAGTGGCAGGAACAGGCCGGGCCGGGCTGGCGACGCGCAACGTAGACTTGGTGCGAGTGGCAGGAACAGGCCGGGCCGGGCTGGCGACGCGCACCCTAGACTTGGTGCGAGTGGCAGGAACAGGCCGGGCCGGGCCGGGCTGGCGACGCACACCGTAGACTTGGTGCGAGTGGCAGGAACAGGCCGAGCCGGGCTGGCGACGCACCCCGTAGGCTTGGTGCGAGGGGCAGGAACAGGCCGGACCGGGCTGGCGACGCACACCGTAGGCTTGGTGCGAGAGGCAGGAACAGGCCGGACCGGGCTGGCGACGCGCACCGTACATTTGGTGCGAGGGGCCGTAACAGGCCGGACCGTACTGGGGACACACACCACTGGCTCTACCCCGGGATCTGGAACGGGCCGGACCGGACTGGTAACACACCCCAGTACCTCTCGCCGTGCCTCTAAACCTTCTTTCCCTACTTTGACCAGTGGCCCCCGTAACCTGGTGGCCTTCTGAATACGCCCCTTTTCTGCCTCCGTCAGCCCCGTCGTCCATGCCCTGTGCCCCCCCCTAAATTTTTTTGGGGTTGCCTCTCGTCAGCCCGACGACGACACTGATCACGTCGTTGCTCCTCTCTCCGTCGCCTCTCTACTGTCTCACTCCATGGCCGGCGATCCATCCCGGCCAGGATTTCCTCCCAGGTCCAGGACCCCTGCCCGTCTAAGATCTGCTCCCACGTCCAGGCTGCCTGCTCCTGGACACGCTGCTTGGTCCTGTGATGGTGGGTTCTTCTGTCACGATCGTCGTAGGGAATAGACCAAGGCGCAGCGTGATGAACGAACATGTTTATTTATCTTTAGTGATAAATACTGAGAATAAACAAAACAACAAACGACTAGTGAAGTCCACGGTACAAAACACAAAACCAACTGGAACAAGAACCCACAAACACAAAGGGAAAAACAGACAGTTTAAATATGGCTCCCAATCAGAGACAACCAGCCAACAGCTGACACTCGTTGCCTCTGATTGGGAGTCACTCAGGCCAACATAGAAACAGAACAACTAGAACCCCCAACATAGAAATATAACACATAGAATGAACACACCCTGGCTCAACATATAGAGTCCCAGAGCCAGGGTGTGACAAGTAGCTACTGTACTCGAAATGTAACTAGCTTGTTGCTACCTGGATAGCTAACAGACGCGAACTGTTGGGACAGACGCGAACTGGCTAAATCGATTCAGTAGCTAGCTTTACACTTAACTAGCTAACAGTAGCTACTAAGGGTAAGTTATAACCTACATTTATTTTAATTTTATTTTTTACATACTGGTAACCAGAGTCGTTCAAAAGGAATTCAAGTCATTTGGGTGACTAGTTAACGTTAGCTTGGCTCTCTCTGTGTGTTTCATACCGTGGGAGGAGGGGTTGGTTCGTTGACAGAGAGCAATGGCTAGCTAATATGCTAACTATTCTAGCTAGCTAACTAACTGGCTGAATAAGTTGACAACGTACTCACTCAAACTGTCAAAACTAACCCCAAAACTTTACACAACGTTAGACACGGACACGAATGATCTGTTTAGCGTGTTAACACACTATTGGTAGTTTGTAACCGAGTATTAGTACTAAACTGTGTTATTGGAAGCTAGCATGCTAGTTAGCTATGGCGTCATAGGATACGGTGCCCTGGGCGGTTTTCACTGAAGAATACTGTACCAAGTTAGCTAGCTGAATAAACAAAGTTAGAGTCTATTCCAAGAAAACATTGAACCGCTGTAGTTTACAACAATTATAATTTCTAAAGTGGAAGTTGGTAGAGTTATATTTGAGTGTTTCAGTGAAACGTAAGTGAGGGAGGCCCCGCTCTCTCGCTTTCCCAGATGTTTAGTTGATTTCATTCCGATCTCCTTTGCATTATTGTAGCCTTTTCTGTAGCCTGTCAACTATGTGTCTGTCTATCCCTGTTCTCTCCTCTCTGCACAGGCCATACAAACGCTTCACACCGCGTGGCTGCTGCCACTCTAATCTGGTGGTCCCTGCGCGCACGACCCACGTGGAGTTCCAGGTCTCCGGCAGCCTCTGGAACTGCCGTTCTGCGGGCAACAAGGCAGAGTTCATCTCAGCCTACGCTACCCTCCAGTCCCTCGACTTCTTGGCGCTGACGGAAACATGGATTACCACAGAAATCACTGCTACTCCTGCTGCTCTTTCCTCGTCTGATCATGTGTTCTCGCATACCCCGAGAGCATCTGGTCAGCGCGGCGGTGGCACAGGAATCCTCATCTCTCCCAAGTGGACATTCTCTCTTTTTGCCCTGACCCATCTGTCTATCTCCTCATTTGAATTCCTTGCTGTCACAGTCACTAGCCCATTCAAGCTTAACATCCTTATCATTTATCGCCCTCCAGGTTCCCTTGGAGAGTTCATCAATGAGCTTGACGCCTTGATAAGTTCCTTTCCTGAGGATGGCTCACCCCTCACAGTTCTGGGTGACTTTAACCTCCCTACGTCTGCCTTTGACTCATTTCTCTCTGCCTCCTTCTTTCCACTCCTTTCCTCTTTTGACCTCACCCTCTCACCGTCCCCCCCTACTCACAAGGCAGGCAATACACTTGACCTCATCTTTACTAGATGCTGTACTTCTACTAATCTCACTGCAACTCCCCTCCATGTCTCCGACCACTACTTTGTATCCTTTTCTCTTTCGCTCTCCTCCAACACTACTCACTCTGCCCCTACTTAGATGGTAATGTGCCGTCGCAACCTTCGCTCTCTCTCTCCCGCTACTCTCTCCTCTTCCATCCTATCATCTCTTCCCTCT